CTATGTATGTAGCAAAATTCCGCCCAAGTCACAACGCAAGCTAGTCGAAGTGGATACCCACTTCGACTATAAGTATATTGCTTGCTGCGGAAATGTAACAATAAAATTGTCCATGTCCCGGGATCCAAACAAACCTCAGACACTTCGCCGACGTGCAGATTCCCAAAATTTTCAAAAAGACGCAATTTTTGTAGTAATGTGTGTAATTAATATTCATAGTAATGTTTTATCAACATTATAATTTTATATTATAAGTACTTAAAATTATAATTGTTTACTACTGTATATACTCTTGTTATTTTGCTTTTAATTTTGATTCTCTTGTGATTTTTTTACATTATATTTTTAATTCACCTTGATTAATTTTAATTGTTTCTGCCTTTTCAAACTTGTTGTACCCGCCTAGACAATAAATAAATGATATGGTCGCATACATATAATTGGAAGCGCACACTAGCAGTTAATATCCGCAAAAAACGTTAATACGCATGTAATTGAGTAGCCACTGATGGCGATTCATTAAAAAAAATACTGAGACTTATCTGCGAACCAAGCTCGGACAGAAGTTGGTATTTTGCATACTATATTATGAAGCAAAACAGATATCTTGCTAGGTTGTGCAGGTCCTCGAACTGTTGAAGTTAATATTTAATTTGTTTCAGTGTTTTCTCGTTAGGGAGCGCTAGGTCGGCATTACCCGTGGTCTGCTTGCGTTCCATTGACGTCACGGCACGGACGGACTCGCGAGAGAGTGCCCAAGTACGGCTTCGTCCATGTGGTGCCTGGCGGGCGCCTCCTCAGCCGCGCTAATTAACTCCGCCAACATTTTGGTAGTCTAACCGAACTATTTGCACTACTTACAACAGCGGCCACTTGCTATTTGTGCAGACACCTGAGACAATATTACGTTGACTGTATCGTCGCGGGCCATGTCGCTGGCATTATCATGAGAGTCATCGCAGAGCACGATTTCGATGGGTTCGATTCCGATTCAATCCCCGATCGTACCGGTGGTGAATTCCATTTACCAATTTAATGTTTACAAATTACAAATGAATAAAATGTTACCCACATTTATTAAACGAAATGTTTCCTATATGTCCACCCTGCGTCCATTAAGTAGATGGCAATCTTATTCAGTTTGTGTTAAGACCAGCGAGCACCGAGTGGTCTCACTCTGCGGTGACGTGGCAGAACATATGACCTTCGTTATGTCCAGTGGAAGTCGACAGAGTTACGGAAACCACAGTAGGTATCAATTTGTATCCGATTAATTCATGCGAGTTGTGAATAAAGCGGTCCGAGGCATCCTGTCATGGAGCGCGCGTCCGCCTCTTGCTCGACCAGTTACGTATTTTTTATCAGGTACAAGGTAAGATGACGCGCTAATAGCACGATTGGACTTTGTAAATAATTTACCGATCGACCGGTGCTTAGAGCAGGCAGCTGCGGTGTGCGCACAAAGCCTGTTTTAACACCGAAAGGTTAGTGGCCTAGTGTAGGGCCGCGCCCGCGAGCTCCGCGAGCTCCCCTCGTGTAACGGAGTCCATGTAGTGGCTCACCACAACCCTGGGGCTGTCGCACCACTGGAAAGGAACGACGAATGGAGTAATCAGGCGGCAGTAACACAATGCCACGGCCACGTCACGAGCTCGACATGCGCCCGCTCTCCGCGCCCCTGTCATTGGAATCCGAGCGGTCGGACGGAGGCTCTACTGATTCATCCCGTGCAGCTGCGCACAGCGACCCGTGGCATTGTTCGCGTTGCCGAGGAGGTGACGTGAGCGTGGCCGTGACACAGCACCTATTAGCTATTGCCAATGTTTCACTCGACTAAGTAAGCCAATGCCTCGCATTATGTTGCGGAGTGTAAACACCAACCACTCAACCTAGACCAATATCCACCAACGTAACATCAATGACCACTTGTGCTGATGCAATGACCCTGAGACAATCATCTCTTGGACTACACAGCAGCAGCTGTGAACCTACTCCAAAGTCCTAACCGATAAAGTTTCGCAACTAGAGCTCGGATTACATACAATTGGATGTTTGCATAAACAAATGCATATATTTCTGTACCTTAGCTCTATTACAGTGACTTATTATAGCACTCGTTTGATTTTAAATGAAAGCTCTTTGTGCAATATTCCACCTGTTTAGTAGTGTAAACGTAAAAGAGTAAATATCTGTGTTCTCTATCACCTTCCTATCTTACTTTTAATGAAAAGTAAGATAGGAAGGTGATCATCTGAAGTGAAAACTATTATTATTCATTTTGTTACGATTTTACAAAGTTAACAGTACGGTTGCGTGATATCATCTTGCGAAAAATATTATAATCTACCCAACCTACCCAGCTAGGTTTGGTTGTCAAATTGCACTTACAACAGTTTTTTTTATGTAATTGGTCGGCAAACGAGCAGACTGATTACCTGATGGTAAGCAATCAGCGCCGCCCATGGACACCCGCAACGGAGGAGTTACGAGTGCGTTGCCGACTTTTTAGGGATTGGGGATTTGGAGATTTAGGGATTGAGGAGGGATTGGGGGCGGGGAAGGAATGGGCCTCCGGTAACCTCACACGGCAAAACACAACGCTGTGGTTGTTTCACACCGGTCTTCTGTGAGGCCGTGGTATCACTCCGGTCGAGCCGACCCATTCGTGCCGAAGCATGGCACACTTTTAACATTATAGAATGCAAATAAAAGCTTGAGTTTGAGTTTCGAGAATGTACAATATTGTACATCTACATACACATGTCGTACATGTTGTACATTGTTTCGAGTAGCCCGAGCCGTTCCAGGCAGTCGACACATCATCCCGAGCTCCGCGCCCCCAAACTTCGTTGGTGGACGTCAATGCATTATGCATAAGTACCTACTAACTGCACGTCATTACAACTAGGTAAAACCGGGCAGCAGTTTACAGCTAAATTAGGTGTAAACATATTTAATAACTTATTGTTTTTCCTTATGATTAATGTGAGTTGGGTGTACATACGTGAGTCTCACAAAATAAAATATCTACTTACGTATTTGGTATTTTTGTTATATCGTTCGATACCAACAGCACTACACTACGGATAAACGAACTGAGACACAATATACCTGTCTGTGTACAACATGCACACGACTATTCAAGGCCTGGTCAGTATAAAAATCAACTAAACGACTGTTTAACCTTACTTGCGTTGCTAAAGGGATGTTCATGAGTGTAAAGGGGGTGTCTTTTTGGGAGGGATGGAGGAATCATCATATTACCTCTTTCGCCCTGGATAAGGCGGTAAATATGTCAAACTCTTAGGTACAGATTAAAAACCATCCTGTTCCATCCCCGGGTGTGGGCCGGGAGCGCAGTACACATTATTGCGCTTACATTCTCAACCACGGCTGAAACGAGGATGTCATTTGGTAATCATGATGATGTCATTTGGTAATAATGATAATCATCACCATCAGCCTAAAGACGTCTACTGCTGGACAAAGAACTTGCATCCATTAGCTTTGCGCGACTTTGACGAGGTCGTCGGTCCACCTAGCAAGAGGTCTGCCCATGTTACGTATTCCGGTCCGTAGTCACCACTTGAGCACTTTTCTGGCCTATCGGACGACAGTGCTTCGAGCGATGTGGCCTGCCCATTGCCACTTCAGTTTGAAAATCTAAGATCTATGTCAGTGACTCCGGTTCTTTGGCGAACTTCCATATTGTGGATTTTGTCGCGCAAACAAACTCCAAGCATAGCTCTCTTCATCGCTCGCTGAGCGACTTTAAATCAGTAACAGACCAGAAGGGACCACGTCTCTGTACTCTGTACCGTATGTCATCACTGGCAAGACACACTGCTTGTACACCTTAGTTTTAAGACTTTTAAGGCACTGCGGGATTTTTTATGAAAAAGATGTGTAACTTCCTGAACGCAGCCCATCCGAGTTGAATTCTTCCGGCAGGTAGCCCGAATATATCTATACTAATTATAAAGAGGTAAAGTTTGTAAATTTGTAACTTTGTATATAGGGGGGTAATCTTTGGAACCGCTGCCTGCTCGGATTGCCAAAATTCTTTCACTGATAGATAGCTACAATGTTCCTGAGTGCTTTAGCTACAATCAAATGGAGCTGAAAAGCGGGTGGGAGTAGCTAGTATTATAATATAAATAATGGTAATAAAATCTTGCTAATACGTTTATTTAAATGTCAAACAGTATAGGTAACTAGGTAGTACCTACTTTTCGTATAAGTAAACTGTGTACGATTGACGTCATACGTTTGGCTCAAATGGCAGACTTATTTCATAAAAATAGATAGAAAAATAAGAAAACAAAATTAAAGTTTTATTGAAATCATCAATGAAAATTAGATTAATTTTATAGTATTGAAAAGTCGAAATGGCTAATTTATTTTCGAATAAAAATCAGCGATGACGGCTCACGGCTTGTTATTGTTTGACAAGGTGAGTAGTAGTAGTATAGTAGTAAGCCGTCAGTATTTGTACGAGGAGCGAAGGGTCGCAATCGCAACATGTGGCGCGCGAGGGCAGGGAGCATGCATTGTTTACAAGCTGCATTCTTTATTCAAACACGTTACCGATACAACCGGTCCTGCGATGCATCGTAATCGTAACGGTTTTGTTTAGGGCTCAGATTGGACCTTTTAAACTACGCATACCTTCGAACAGGTAATGCTTACGTTGGGTAATTTGCTTCTACTGATTAAGCAGGTAGTTTTTTTTCTAATTCACCAATGAGGTTTATCGCGTCGTCTGTAAAATGTAACTTTTGTAAAGTATAAAAATAAAACTTAATTCTCTAATAAATTAGTAAATAGTACTTAATTATTTATGTATAATTTTAGTTATGTAGACTATTTACTGAGATAATAATTAAATCGATATGGCCATAAGTTTATCTACAAGTTGTTACCTATTTAATATAAATCCGCAACATGTTAGTAGACATGTAAACGTACCTATATATTCAAGAAAATAAGGAAATACTGACTGCGAAGGCGATGTTGATGAAGATGAATATCTTCTCGGCAGTGCAAAGACCCCGGGCACAGGACATCGTGCAAGCGTCAAACAAGGCGCAGGAGAGTGGCTGTGGTCCGCTGTGTCATGTGGCACTCGTGCACTTCACTACGGTCACCGGAGGCGCGGGGACGCGTGCTCGCCGTCGCGTCTCGTAAGGCACTGAGCGGACGGACGAGCGAGCAGCGAAGCGACTACAGCGGCGGCGCGCTCCACGCCCCCGGGTCCCGGCCGACACCCGACACTCCACCCGCCGGCGGGCCGGGGACACGAAACCTTTCTGCCATGTGGCTGACACTCGACGCCTTCCATTGTCAATGCACTTATTTATATTTTTGACGACTTCGTAATCAACATTAGCAAAACAAGGCAGAGCCTAGAAGTCTTTTTCTCTCAAGGCGAAACTGATTTAAGCTATTCCTTCAAAATTTTTTTTACCCAGAACAACAATTTGTAGATATAACACAAAGAGTCGTTCCGTGCGGGAATCGAACCCGCTATATTTTGCACGGCAGCCAGTTGCGCAGCCCCCACACCAAACGTGCAGTCAATAATAATACAAACGTACATATATATCTTTACGTAAATATATCGCGCCAATTTCAAAGAAGAGCACATCACAGGTAAAATAAGTAAGTAAAAGATGTTTATTATGAAAAGTCAAAGATCTTTGATGTGAGACTACAATTACAAAAGTTGTTCTTGTCAAAGGAATACTAGATATTGTGCTCTTGCACTGCTCCACCGTTATCAAGGTATACAATAGTTTAGTGTTTTAAATTCATTAGTCATGTCAAATTAATTAAAAAACTAACTATAAGTAGTTTGCATCAAAACATACAATGTGTTGCATTAAATTTTTGCGAATCTCTTATTAAAATTCTCGAATACATTTTGAAGAAACTTTTTGAAAGCAAAGCCGTTTTAGCGGATATATTAGTTACTAGCTTCCGCCTGGGGCTTCGCCAACATACGTTGGAAAAAAGCAGCCAATGTGTTATCCAGATGTCATTTCTTTGTACTTACCAGATTTCAACCAAATCGGTCCAGCCGTTTTTGTGTGAAAGAATATCCAACATACATGCAAATATAATATTAAGTATAGTAGGATTTTGTGAACGTACTGTCGGGAATGATGGCTATCAAATATTTCCCTATTCATTTCTATAAATATAGCAATCTCATAAATGTATAGGGGCAGAAACGTTAACATTTTGAGCTACTTTAAATATGGCATACAGCTATCTATATAGGGCACGTATGCTAAGTCCAGCTCTAACATATTTCTTTTGTATCCTAGAAGTGAACTCTCTGTCAGTAAAGTTCCCTCGATAAATCAGTCCATATCGAAGTGTAGATGTTACGTTCCCATGATAGGCAGTCAAAACTGCTTCTTAACTCACAACCCTCAAGTCTGTGTAAAGCATAGGAAAACTTATTTGGTTTTTTGTGATGATGACATATTTTTGACAATCCTAACTTACACATTTGATGTTCTGAAACAATTCATTTAAAGTACAATAATAATTAATGTCATTTCCAAAAGCATTATGACAGAGAAAATACGTACAGCAGTGCTTTATAGCAAAAAGGACCAATTGAATTTTCACAGCTCAGGATTAATCATTATTAATAATTTTATATAAGGAAACGTAAGGGACCTAAAAACCTCCCTGTGGCACGCCATATCTAATATCTCTTGCGCTTGATTTGCGAGAGAAACCCTACACAATTCAGTTATTTGTGACCTCTGGCTTAAATATGATTTGATCCTTCAGAATCCCTCATCTATCCAGTTTCTTGATCAGCAGCAAAGTTGTGTTGAGTCAATCCTCAAGAGCGCGAAGTTGCCACTTTACTAATTAAGAGGAGTTATAAAATGTGGAGTAACGAGAGAAGCAGTGTTTGTATGTCTCACACGGAATACCGTCATGCCTGATAAGTTGGGAAGACGGACAATTTTCAGCATATAACTGTCCCACTGTTGAGGCTAGATATCTCACATGCACATCTTACCCCAAACGTGCTCACACAGCGACGGAAAGAGCATCGATCCAGCTTGCTCAAGGTAAGTAGGTACCTATATTAGTGGTGATTTCACAGCATATTTTTTAATAGGTAATATTTATTTATTTAATGATTCATGCACGTCACACAACTTAAGTGGACTAAATGCCTTAGGCATTCTCTCACAGTCTACCTTGTATATAAGTGCAGGTTTCCAGGAAACATAACGGAAACATCATAATGTTTCCTTTTATCACCGAATGCGAATGGTCTTCTAAATACTAAACTAACAACGTTTTATACATTATTAGCACAAGTTAACAGGTTATCTCGACTATTTCTCAGGCAGCCAACGCACTTGTATTTATTATTTATTTATTTATTATTATTATGTACATATATTATTATTGTACAATTTCCCACAAAACCGGTTTAGTGGTTTGACTGTAGGTAGACATGTGGCATTGTTTTACAAGCAGGTTTTTATTGTATATTAAGTTCTAAGTATAATTACTTAAATTATATCTAACATTTTGATATAGTGAGTGTCCATGGACGGCGATAACTTGCCATCAGGTAAACCGTCTACTCGTTTACCCACCTATGCCATATCAAAGGTTTTGAACATGCACCCAGTGGGTGGCCCAGTGGTTAAAGCTTAATGCACATAAGCGTATGTACCTAGCGCTTACGGTCTGTCCTGGTAAGCAAGATATATAAAAATACTACCTAGTCAAACTTAATATAGGTACTTTAACTTAAATTGTAAAAGACCAACAACGACCTAGCAACGCAACTCCTCTGGTGGTAATCAATGGGCAGCGCGTAGGTAAGTACCCAGTACCTACATTGAAGGTCCTAAGCCTGTCCTAAATACAATACATATCGCAGAATAGCGTGTCCCGCTAGAAGCATACCGGCACCTAGTTAAAGAATTAGACATACTTGCGTGTCGTGTCGCGCGACACAATAATGTATTTCCACCATGGAATAATGTGATGTTAGACCATGACATCCACTTTTTTTCTGGGGGCACGACAAAAATCACGACCTAACGACAAAACGTACCCTGGGTGGGGGTGTAAGTCTCTTATTTAAAACCACTCCATTTCTTCTCCTGCTCCGGACTGGAGCCGCGTTACCTGCATCATTACACCGGCAACCCGGCATGTATCATAACAACAACATAAAAAATATTATGCGTCAGTCAAATGTATTTGTAAACGCTCTCCAGACATATAGTAGAAATCCTAAGATGGGAAGCGAGAAGATAATTGTGTTGTGTACTACGTACATTTTTAGAGGCTGTTATACATACATATACGTGTAATACCTATTCCCTGACAGGGTGTAGAAAAAGGTAAGGTTGGAGCTGAAATAAAAAATGAACACGTGAATGTGATCATCAGTTCCGAAATAAGAATGTATTTAGGTACCTATGACACCAACAAGTTTTCCCATACACGATTCGACCCCGAAGTTCGATTTTATAGAAGATATTAAAGTTAATCTACAAACAGCGGGCTGACCCCCAAAAACGATTTCATTCTGTACGCGTACTCCCGAAAACAGTTTGATTCTGATTTTGTTTCGCACGGAGGCACAGCAAAGAGGTGCAGAGAAATTAATTTAGTCAACAATCGATAGCTGTCGGCAGGTATAGAGTGGCTAGTGATCTGCTCACAATTTAGCAGTCGTTTGATTGTTTCCAATACGAGGTCGTTAATCAATGGCATTTGTCAAGCGGTCAGAGGGCACGGGCGCAGCGCGTCCTCGGCGGCGCGCGGCGGCACGCCACATACACGCTGCGCGCCGCCGCCCGGGCCTACCTCGTTGTCGTCAATTACGACCTCTTAAGATGCCAATAAACGACAATTAGGTAGCAACAGAGCGGGCCACCAGACGCACACACGGACAATTGCTCAAATACATCAACCTACATTCGTTCAAATCGGAATTTATTGATGAAGGAGCAATTAAATAAGGTAGGAAGGAACTACCTACTATTACGTATTCAATATTACGATTGATGAAACGTTTGGCGCGGCCGGCATGAAGTCGGTCGAAGAAGATCCTTAGATACAGATGAAATTGCCGTTTTTCATGATTTCATAATAATATTTTTATCTTTGCCAACGCATACGCAACGCTAGCTTATTGATGACCTTCTTGAAGAAATCAACTGAACGGGACATAACAAATTCTTCAAAGGCATTTTATCCAACTTTCATGACGAAACGAATTAAAACGATTGACCAAAGCTTGTTAGAGATTTGGGATCTTCATAATTGAGTTAAGTTCTTCATAGTATATACTCAACTGCAGTAACGCTCGTCCCGTTTGCTAAGAAGCTGTGATGAATTACATCCGCGTTACACCACCAGGCAGAGACCATCACTTTTTTATGCGATACGTTGGCCACCGAACATACGGATTAGGTACCTAATGGTAAGGACTCAGCGCCGCTCATCGACAACCGCAACAACAGAGGAATTACTTAGGACTAGATTGCCGACCTTTTGGGGATTAGGGATTTCGAGATTTAGGGATTGGGGGCGGTGAAGGATTGTGCCTGCGGTAACCTCACTTACACGGCGAAACACAACGTTGTGGTTGTTTCCCGCTGGTTTTCTGTGAGGCCGTGGTAGCACTCCGGTCGAGCCGACCCATTCGTGCCGAAGCATGGCTCTCCCAAACTTAAACACTTATCGTTGAGTTTTGATAAATTAGTTTTCACACATTACAATGGAGCAGGGCCACGGCCTGCTGTGGCAGACCTTGTAAAAATAGTAAATAACAAGCAGCAACTACTCAATGACACGTTTATTGTTACATTACTAGTGTTAGTGTACATCCAGGTTAAGTTACTCTCTAAAGTTTACTCTAAATGGCACCAGGTGGCGGGCTGCTCTACCACCGACTTAGGCGTTTATATTGATAGATGCAGTATTGCAGACTCTCCCAGTGGAGGCAGTGGCATTCTAAGTCGGGATGTACCGCAGCCCACGGACATACATCAGCTACCAAGCACATACACAACTACAATTAATATAAAATAATGTTATAAAGAATAGCGACCGACGGACAGGCACTTCACTTTATTCAATTACATATTTGTACATTCTGACATGACCCGCTCATCTTTTGATCTAGTGGTACTACCAGACCCGTATTGAACGTATGTTAATTAATTAACAACTAATTAATTATTACATAATTGCTGAGTAGCTACATACATTATATCTTCCACAATAGTATACACATGTATATATGTCATGGTGTGGGTGTGAGTGAAGACATTACTTTACATTAAAATTATACGCAGCAGCGTATTGTACTGGAAGTGGATGAATCCATAAAAACATTAAGAGCGGCTACATGGTGCATGTTGTGCGCTTCCCGGGGTTAACTATACCTCTGTGTAGTACGTTTTGTATTGCAAAGCGTAGTACCACTGAACTAAACGACGATGCTAGTCAGATTACGTTTGTATTGCATAAAACTAGTTTCCGTCAATATGACAAGGTTCTCCGGTGTGATCCTTAGACGGGAGAGGCTTGCAGTCCTCGGAGATCCTCAACTGATCCTCTTGCAGATACAAAGTATTGAAGGCAGTCACTCGTACAATATGAAACTTATACAATTCTATAGGCTGAACATTTGTTTATCTTATTGTAATATTAAAGTTTGTGCGAACAAACCGAATATAAAACCGACAAGTTCAGAATTAGTTTAGCTGAGAGCGAGTCCCGGCGCGATACGTGCACTACATACTTAACTAAACATCAGTCAAAACAATAAATAGCTAATGTTAGATATACATTCATTATTAGTACTATCATAGGGTTCTCGTGGGAAATTAAATATTTGTACTGGGTTTCAACTTAACTTCTAATAAAAATGTAAAGAAAATAAAATCAGTCTCAACTTAAAAGTCTTATAGTGTTGTGTCAATATTGGCAGTGATAGAGATCATGGCATTATACATCTGAGTATTGCGACAACTGTCACGCAGTGCGGACAGACGGACACACGGACACACGGCTACTTGTACATAAATATCAATATATCATATCAAACAGCGCTGTGGTTAGTCGACCGGCGGAGCCATGGTCGCGGGGTACTTCATTATGTAATGTTTTGTCATACATTTCCAATATTTCGTTGTTGTACTTTGATTATCTCGCTGTTGTTGTGTTAAGTTAATATTTTCAGTGTTATTGCATATAAGTATCTGAGGAATTAGTTGTATTTACATGGAGCGAGCGAGCTCGGCAGGAGCGACTAGCCACGGCGCAGTACAACACACACTTACACGCTACACACATTTGGTTAAGCTCCATGGCGGCGGCGGCGGCGGCTGTAGGCCGGCCTAGGCCTTGTACGCGGGGCGCGGGTGGGCCCGCAGCCACAGCGCGGCGGCCAGCGGCAGCGCGGCGGCGTGCAGCGCCAGCAGCGCCGCGCCCAGCGCCAGCGGCGCGCGCGCCAGCCGGGCCAGCGCCGCCAGCAGGCGCGGCCCGCAGGCGGCGCCCTGCAGCCCGGCGCCGCCCGCGCTGGCGCCCGCCACGCGCCGCGCCGCCTCGCACGCCTGCAACCTCTACACTCTACATCCGCGCTCTCGACACCCGCTTCCCATTTCCTGACTCTCTCGTCTTCAACATAGATATATTGTCGTGCTAATTGAGAGCCTGGCAATTGAGCAAATTTATACATCGTCGTATATGTAAGAAACGTGACACAAATATTACAAGGTTCCTAAGCCCACGAATTACGTATTATCTTTTAAACAAATATATCGAAGGTATGACATACACATGAGGTATGACAGCTTCGTTTTAATCAAATCTCGTATGCAATGTCACTTCACATTTAACAGGGGCAAACTGATGTATTTTCCCTTTTTCATACTATTTACTTTTTATTATACGACATTATTTCCTTCAACGACATTAGCCGGTCACTAGTTTTAGAGAGATTAACGAGCAATCTACATATTTCCATAGATACTGCAATCTAAATATATAAAAGGAGAAACTGACTGACTGACATATCAACGCCCAAACGTAGAATTTGAAATTTGGAAAAGACGTAGCTTAGTTACCATAGCATAGTGGTGAACTAAGAAAGGATTTCCCGAAATTCCCATGAGAACGGGAATTAGCGAGGAAATCTTTTTGTATGAAAAATTTTAACCGGTGTATTTAGACGCTTGAAACTTGGCATGCAGGTAACTTTAAGTTTACTTGCAACAAGATATTGCAAAATTCCCACGGGAATGGGAGTTAGCGGACAAAACATTCGTATGAAAAAATCTAGATAGCTGCAATGTTCTTGAGGGCTATAAAATTGAACTTCATTTGCGTATTTAAGTCGAGCTATCGCATTTAACGGGATTTTTTAAACAACAGTGTTCAGAAAAACCGGGATATATACTTTTAAATTAATTACCATCGCCATCCCCAAATATATACTTATTATAGGTATTTGGGGATGGTCATTGGTTAGTTTAGCGAGCAGCAAGTGACAGCAACATTACCTCGGCATCGAGAGAGGGCACGCAGCAGGAGGGCGGCACCCAGTAGTAGAGGGCGGGCGCGGCCACCGACAGGTCCAGCGCGGCCTCGGCGGCGGCGGCGGGCGGCGCGCCGGCCGCAGCCCGCGCCCACGCCGAGTGCTGCCAGTCGCGCGGGCCCGCCGCGCCGCAACACTCCAGCTGCAACCACGCCTCACGGTACACTCAACGCCCTCACATCGCTACTACCACTCTACACCTACATTGCTTGTGCAATAAGCTATTTATTATAATTACATAATTCATTATAGTATTATTTCTTTAAAAAAACCCAGGCTCAAAAAACTGCCGGGAATCGAACCCGCGACACGTTACATAGTGGCCAGTTGCCCCGCGACTGCGCCATATGTTACCTAACCTAAACGTTTACAACATTTCAGGCTTTTACAATGCATATTTCCATGCATGTTGTCACTTTAATGATGCCATTGGGACAACTCAACTATGGTATTGCGATAGTTATGTGAAGCTACGGACCCCCTGTTGTATGACGTCAAGCAGTTGAGTGCGCGAGGGCAGCACGCCGTACTCGTGGCGCACCGTGTGGTCGAGCGCGTCGTGCAGCGCGCGGCGCAGCTCGGGGCGGTGCGCGGCGCCCCACCAGGCCGCGGCCGCCTCGGCCACGGCCGTCAGCGCCAGCAGCGAGAACGCGGCCGCCAGCAGCGGCGCCGAGCTGCGCACCGCCCCGCACAGCGCGGCCAGCGCGCCCAGCGCCAGCGCCGCGCCCCACGCGGCCACGGCCAGCAGGCCGGCGCGCGCGGCCGAGCTCTCGTTGCCGCGCCCGTCCCACAGCGCCCATGCTGCGAACCCGCACGCGCTACTGCCCACGCACTGCAACCACACGATGTTTCTCTCAATTACAGCATACACATGCTACGTGTGGGATAAACATTAATTATCACAATTACCATAAAATACAAAGTTCATTTACCCACACCACAAAAATATCTTGTCATGACAATGCCCACACAGGGACCCTTATAATCTTGTAACCCGTTTTGTATCAATATTGGGTTTTTGAGCAACTAAAATAACACCAGTAAAAGTTTAAGAGTGGGAATACCTGCCTAACAGTCAGTCAGCCCTCTTCTGCAAATTCCAGTGAGTTGTATACCATCACAATACTCACGTACTGTTATTTTTGAGGTATACACATATATTATCAATAAATAGAATAATAATCCAATTTTAATAAATGATACATCCTTCACCAGCTTTATTTTATTTGAACAAGCATCCTGACAATATAAAGAACTTGTTTGCTTCTCTCACTTCATTTCATTGCAATAAAACTCTGAAATAGTCTGTTACAAAACTTCTTTACATTTTTGGGTTCATATCTACTCATCAAGATAAATAAAGAATCAAGGATCCATTCTCTGAGCAAAACTAAATGTCTGCCTGGTTAGCCTGAACTATGAGACAACTGAGCATATTTTAAACCACATTTTGTAAGCTATAACTAAACTAACAGCAGAATTAACAATCACAACAATCTACTATGAGTATCCTACACTCCATTCCCTCACATACCACAGTCACATACAACTCATTATGCCACTCATATTATCATTATTACTCTAAAAATATTGTCCAATTATTGTGTTTCATTTCATTTTTAAATTAATTGCAGACTTATAAAAAAGTCTTTGCATGCTGTCACTGAACTGATAAATTGGATTCTACCATTTGTGGGGGATATGCAAGCCTGGAGATCTGTTGCACACATTTTACCTCTAACAGGTTCTACAATTCTATGATTGTAACACCTAAATAATTTATAATTGTTAAGAGAAAATAAAGATATTATATATTATTATTTGTATATATATAATTTGTATTATAGTTTGCTTTAGCATTTCTTCTCAGATTAGTAAGAATGGAAAAATCTAGCTTAATTTTTATAATATTGATGTTTTAGACACTGTGCAATGCTATTGTTCTAAACAATTACTGAATTATATATTGTTGCTTACATTGTATATCATTTCATTACAAAAAACCTTTTGGTTCCATACAAGTACAAGTATGTTGATTCCATCGTAAAAAAGATCCTGAGGTCTTGCCCATTATTGTTTTTTGAATATTTGTTTATTATAAGTGAGGGCATAGAAGTGAAGTTTGCAGTGACAAAACATCATTATTCATGACTGAAAGTGACACCGACCATACAAATCCATAAAGATTCCCGTATTTTCTATACAATTACTCACCAAAAATATAATATTGAACAGTATCAGCAAACATTTCATTAGCGAATAGCACCGAGACATTCCCATGTTTTAGATGTCGATGTGAGATTCTTCCAGTTGCTCTAACTTGATTTGACCACTTGACGATGATTTTGATTTACTTTATATTACAATATATAAATCATTTACTGGGACATTTTCGTACAACATAATCTGGGTAGGTTTACTGCTGTCGATTTTAAGAGAGATAGATTGTTGGCGACAAATGTTTATATTTTTGATTGATTGACATAACACAGATATTGTTATAAATATTCTCTTACTCTCTGACAGAATTCACAGAGTACAAAAATGCTCTTTGAATGTTAATATTGGGGGACGGGGACCCTAGTGATCCATAGACTAGTAGTCATTTACTAAACGTAGTGGTTACATACTCTTTGTTATTTACGTTCATGATACGATGCCACATGAACTCCTTACGCCTGTGTATAGTGCGTAAAAAGTTTGTAGAATAATACTTATTAAGTTAACAAATTACTTTTATGAAGTAGGTTTCACTAGCCAACATTATATGAATCGTAAGTCTATTTGTAAAATAATCTTGACTTTATTTTTCCATTAATTTGATTTACAAACAAGAGTAAATTGAAATTTCGTAAACAAAAAATGGCTAATTTTAAATAATTATCTCCAATCATTTTGCACTTAGTAAGCCATAGACAAAATAATTCGGTGCAGTTTCACAGCGTCGAACAGCAGCGAGCATTGACAGAACGAACGCGGAATGTCCACTTTAAAACTTAGATAAATGGCCACCGTTGTTATTACGCTCTTCCTATTTGTACAATTTTGTGTTTGTAAAATGGACGCCGTGTGCATTAAAAAGCGAAGGTAACTTGTGACTGAGTTTAAATTGAAAGTATTGTAAATGTGTAACTCTTTTAGGAAAGTTTTTAAAATTAAAAAGGTGTCAATGACAGAAAGTTTCGCGCCACTATGGTACAAGTACAACTTCGTGGTTGTATTCATTGTGTTGTATTGTATACCTTGGCGGTTCGCGACGCTTCTCATTTTTGATTATAGTTATCAATAAGAGAACATCATGGATTTTCAGGACTCCACTTTCGTCCAGAAGGGAAAAGCGGTGGAGCATGAATTCTCAGCGACTCGATGAAATAGTGGCGCAGCTGATGCAGCCTGTGTCAATGAGAAATCAGGAGAAAATCTTCGACCATAACATCACCGAGGTAAGTATCTATCTGAGACTCCACCGGGTGCATAGCGCGCGCTATGGCTTAATATTTTCATTGAAGGTCTTCCGCAAGGGTTATAACAATATTTAATCTAAGTACTCAATATTTACAACATCACAATACCTGGCGCTTAGGATTGTAACGACGATAGCGATGTCAAGTAAAGCAAATGCATTGTGACTATTTTATAAATACATTGTTGTCTCGATATGATATGAATCAATAGATAATAGCTCACACTATATTGGTCACCTGCTAAGTAAGTTTTGAAAGCTGGCTTGGCAATATTTTAATGTTTTGTTTACCAACAATCTTGTTTATGTGACATGAATTTAAGTGTTTCCAATAAGTTATTTGATTTGTGACACTAATGGTTATTTGCCCAAAATATATAATACCCAATGTTATGCTTGTCATTTATAACCATTTATTAGTAAGTACTCTATTAAGTAGAAAAATGATTTATTTTTAATTGCTTGAGTCTTGTTGGTGAAGATGATGATGATGATGATGTTAAAACTTTAGCTTTTTCTATAATAAACAATGAATAATTGATCCAACAAGACTGACACATAGGAAACAATTTTATTATGCAACATGCAAAGTCTTATTAATTAAGTACTTATGAGGAAACTAACTTCTTCCAGTAGTTTTGCCCATATTATTCAGGTATATAGTGGCAATTCTGCTATTTCAGACTATAATTTATAGGTACACTAAGTTTATTAAATACTAATAAATCTGCGAACGTGTCCCAAGTGTAAAATTGCAAGCAACCAAAATGTATATTAACTTTTCACCAGAAATTAGAGAAGTAAAGATCAACATAACAACATGTATGAAAATAATCAAAAATCATGGCTGAAATTTGTGGAAAAATCAAATCTATATGAGAGAAATTGCTTTGACACATTTCACACTTGAAACCATTGTTTTTTGTAAGACATGTCTAACGATTGCTTCTAGAGTCTAAATGGGCTTGAAAAATAGCAGTTTTCCCCGTACACAATAACCAATTAGATGACTATCTTGTCAATTATTAAACATCTACTTTCATGAAATTAAATACCACTTATAAAAACAAACAAATGTTAAAAATTCAATATCAGTATACATATACAGGGATATAACTTAGCTGCTAAATGCTGTCGTGTTGTGTATTTTTAAATGAAAATATAGAATTTAAGGCCCAATAGCAGACATGTCAGTTGAATGCATTTTTGAAACCAGTGGAGTATATATACCTATAGGTACCTATATCTTTTACTTATTTGTAGTTATTTTTTGGCCGCTGAAGAACAAGGAATCTGAAACATGAAATTTCCTTAGAGAAACTCTTACATAAACTTAATGTAAAGAATAAACAAAGAGATAGATAACAGACCAGCTAGTGACGGAACCTACTCAAGTAACAGCCACTAGCTCATACCATAAATAAATAATGATTTCAATACCTACCAACGACCCTATAATAAAGAGACTTTACAACAAACAAAGCTATACTACAGAAAGTAGATGAGACTAGTAAAATGGCTACAGATCAAAACAGTAACACAAATTACATGTCCTTCCATAACCATTATAAAACATGTTAGACCAGTGCATTCCGAGGAACGACTGCACGGTTGGCAGGGTGGCTGGGCAACTGACAACCGCGCGACGTGTGGCGGTTTCGATTTCCGCACGTAACAACACTTTGTGTAATCCACAAATTGTTGTTCCGGGGGTGGGTATGATGTGTATGGGAAATTGTATGTTTGTAAAGCCACCCACGACACAGAAGAAAATCCTAGAGTGAGGAAAAAAAGAAAAAAAGGTAAAACAAGGATTAAATGTAGGCACCTGAAACATGGCTAACTTCTGGTTTAAAAGTGGCATGTAAACATAAACAGTTATGAAAAGCACTAATGATTACTTTAACCAATAAGATATACTACATAAACATTACAAACAATAAGAAAAAGTACTCAAGAAACCATACTAAAAAAAACCGTAAATGTGCCCTAGCAAGGTTCAATGTTGGATACTATCATAATTTAACAACCTGTTAACTGTGACTGTTAACTGTGATATGAATGTTCACTGTCATTTGGTGGAGATTTCAAATACTATGTTCCCATGTACTGACATTTCTCACTCACAAATATTGTAAAGGCAGCTTTAAATAGCTGTAAAAACAATCTCTCTATATTAACATAAAGCTTCAAGGAAGGGTTGAGCACCTACGTGGTGCATATACATGGGTGCACCCAGAGGGTTTTAAGTGTGGGAGAGCCGTGCTTAGGCACGAATTGGTCGGCTCGACCGGAGTGATACCACGGCCTCACAGGAAACAGGCGTGAGACAACCACAGCGTTGTGTGAGTGAGGTTACCGGAGGCCCAATCCTTCCCCGCCCCCAATCCCTCCTCAATCCCTAAATCTCCAAATCCCTAAAAGGTCGGTAACGCACTCGTAACTCCTCCGTTGGGGGTGTCCACGGGCGGGGCTGATTGCTTACCATCAGGTAATCCGTCTGCTCGTTTGCCGACCTCCTTCCCCGCCCCCAATCCCTCCTCAATCCCTAAATCTCCAAATCCCTAAAAGGTCGGCAACGCACTCGTAACTCCTCCGTTGGTGGTGTCCACGGGCGGGGCTGATTGCTTACCATCAGGTAATCTGCTGCTCGTTTGCCGACCTATTACATAAAAAAAAGTTAGATAAGCCCACAGCTATAGTTGAAGCATTGTTTGATTACAGACAAGGCACTAACAAGTAACCACCCGAATTAAATATTATACATATAAACATAGAAAATGAAATCATTCTAAAGCAATGGCAAAAAATTCAAAAAACTACAAAATTACATAAACATGTTACAAAGCTAAAATAAAAAAAGGCAAGAGTATTTTATTGATTGCAACAATAGCCAATTTGTAAAAGACGAATATGATGTACCATACTTCATGTGAAGTTACAGAGTACAGGGGGGGGGGGGAAATAATCAATGAGGAATTGTAATTTAAATCTATGAGAGTATAACCAGTAATTAACCTGATCGATAGATAAGGGCGAAATTGATTAAGATTTTAATTTTAAAATATTATTTGACACACATCACCACACTCTTGTTATTGGAAATCAATTGTAAATATGTATTATATGAATGAGACTGAAGAATTCCAAAGGAACTCTAGTATTACGTCAAAGTTTGTCTTTATGGTAAAATATGGGAGAGCCATATTTTCACACAAATAGTCCGGCTCCACCTACCACGGATGCACAGAAAACCAGCGTGAACCAACGCTTGTGTTCTGTTTCGCCGTGTAAGTGATTTTACTGGAGGCCCAATCCTCAAATTCCAAACCCCCAAAAGACTGGCGCACTTACAATTCCTCTAGTATTGCGGATGTCCATGAGCGGCGCCCATGACTTACCATCAGGTGATCAGTTTGCATTAGCTGTCCTACTCCATAAAAAAGTAGTTGTTGTGACCCTTAGAACGGACCATAGGTATCTTTATTCAATGAAAGTTGAAAAGAATTTTCCAGTTATGAATATAGAAGTAATCGTGATGTGCGTGTGTGCACAGTTGCTGGAGGAGTATATGACGGAGGCCGGGCTTCGTGCGCTGGAAGGGGGCGAAGACGTCCGCGTCAACTTCCCCGAGATGGCTCTGTTGCTGCAGCGCTCCGTCGACATCTACAGCCACAAGGTCGACTGCCTCCACCAAAATATCCTCGACTACTGCGACAAGCTACTCACCGCGAGGTGAGTAAAACTCGTCCCTTCCGTGGTATCATTCGCAGTCAGCATGTAAAGTGATGTCGGGTGTGTGGTCCTCAGGGAGGAGGAGGAGGAGGAGGAAGCGGGCGAGGAGGCGGGCGCGGAGGAAGCGGGCACGGCTAGGCGCGGGCGGCGGCGTGGCTCGGCGGAGCGCGGCGCGGCGGAGGCCGAGTTCGATCACATCGCGCTGCAGGGCGCGGCGCCGCGCGAGGGGGGCGCGGCGCGGCCGCCGCCCACGCTGCCGCGCATGTACGTCGAGCTGGAGCCGCGCGTCATCACGCCCGCCGACGCCCCGCTGCTGGACTACGCCGGCGAGCCCATCGGCTTGCTCTCCGACTTTCAAGTCACCTGGCGCCTCCATGTCTGTATCTGACCTCTTTTTAAACTTTTCGTGGTTTAAGTTTTATTTTAATCATTTTAACTCAAAGTTCGTTTAGATGAAATGATGATTATACTAATTATATAAGCTTTATGAAATATACGAAAACGTAATAATCTTGCTCCAAGATGCCAAATAATAAAATATTGTTTTCATAAACCAATTGGTCAATGTGAGGGATACAATCAAAATTTAGTCTAGTCTAATATGTAAATAATAGGTTGAGGAAAAAGTTTCTTCGAATTTGGTGTTATTGCTTAATATAGTTCATTTACATTTAAATAACGTTTGTAGGTAAAATTTTGTTCGATAACTTTTGTCATCTTATAGACAGGGATCAATGTCGGGACTTCTGATCAAAATACCACGACAAGTGGTTTGGTTAGTCCTCTCATGGCAGAGACCGAAACAGAAAGTAAACTCTTGGTAAGGACTATACGGCGGATACATTAACATCTCTCAGCCAAACTATTTTATTTTTTGCTGAGTGGCTAAAGATATGTGTGGTCTAGTGTAATCATGTTGAAAAACCACACCCCTTCTATTGATTAATTCTGACCAGTCTCATCAGAATTTTTAAAAGAGAAATGATTGAGTTTCTTGCTCGTTCTTCTCCATTCGAATCTACAATTTGGAACGAGCTCCACTGACGAACTGACTGACAGACTAGTATTCTATTTTGACGTTTAAAAAGTACCCTTTTATGGTTTAGTTGGAATAAATTATTTTGTCTTTTGATAGTTATTCGCAGTAGAGTTCAGAATTGATGTTTCTGCCTGATGGTATCAGCTCATAATGAATATTACCCTTCCAATCCCACCACACCCCACACACACATCACCTTGTGGCGAGCTACCCGGGTTTCGCCACAGACTGTGAAGCCTGACCGGCCTTTGACCACGACCCTTTTCGCACGCTCTTGTCGTACGCTCTTGTCGTACGTGATCAATAATGTAGGACCAGTTATCAGCTTCTTAAAAAATTGTTCGGACTCATCACGTCGTAATAAAGAGTTACAAATGAGTACGCGGTTCATTAGGCTTCTCTCAGTGAGCTCGTGAGATACCCAAATATTGTGCTTTTACACAGTTCAACCCATATTTTGTTCTTAATAAATTTTAAAATTTATTGAATTTTTTGATTATTTTCACTCAGATTAGGGTCTAACTATCTCGCTATCAAAGGGTCACCTTTTCCTAATCTTCCCCTCTACTTTTCTAATATTTTCTTTTATAAGAACCTTCTCCTGACAATAACAAACACAACAAAAAAAGAATTAGCAAAATTGGTCCAGGCGTTGTTGAGTTATGCGCTTACCGACACATTTTGCGATCCATTTTTATATACAAGAGAATAATGTTCTTTAAAATTTAAACTTTAAATGATACTAAAACCCGCTAGATACAAATAGTCAATGTTCATACATTATATAATGGGAAAAAACTTTCCTCAACCTAATATAATCGACCGAAATATATAAGCACTATCACACAAATTAATCATCCAAATATAAATTATGTAAACAAAATATAAATAAATAGTCTTATGTATTCTCGAGTTGTTGACATTCAGCGTGCTCCGTTAATGGAAATTATCCTCGCTCGGTTTTATGAAAATGTCTTAGAATCGTTCAAATTTCACCTTCCCATGTTCTGTGTGATTCAGATCGTTTACATCAACATACATAATACCCTACGATCTATCAGAAGTCTGATTCCATCACTCATTCGTACAGCGAGGACTGTTGGTGGACGAGCTGGAAGACGGCACGAGCCAGGAGCGCAGGCTGCGGCCCATCTCCCTGCTGGAGCTGCAGGAGGCCATCGCCGCCGCCGTCTGCCCTCTGCCGCCGCGCGCCAGCACGCCGCTGGACGCCACGCCGCCCGCCACGCCGCCGCGCACGCCCGACCACGCCATGGCGCACCACACGTCTGATTTGGACGCCACGCTACAATCGCCAGACTTGGCTGCCAGAATTCAGCCGCCTGACTTGGCAGCCCCCATACAAACGCCCGGCTTGGCCGCGATGGCCCACGCCCCTGAACTGGCTGCCACGCTGCGCACCCCCGACTTTGGCGCTGCGCTCCACGCGGCCGACGTGGCCGACATGGCCAGGCTGGGGGACACCCCCGTGCAGCCTGGTGCACCCGCTAACACATCCACGCCGAAACTTAACAAAAAAGAAAGAAAGAGAAGAAGTGATAGCAATATTGACGCCGCCATAAAAATATCTGTTGGGGAAGGTAAGTCGAGTGTGTCGATGAGTGATGAACGCATAAAATACAGTGAAGCATAACATATAGTGCACATATTATGTGCAAATAGTAAGAGTCTGACTTGTTGTTTATAGATCTACGGCAAAAGTTGGACGAAGTACAGGAGTTCAGCATACCGCCTACTTGGATCAAAAAGATCGTTAAAAGACGGAAGAGTGAAATTTTGAGCAGTCGCAGGCTAATACGCGAAGAGAATCCTATACCCCGTGGAGGTAATCTACTGCCGCTTATTACTAAACTTCATTTTATATGATAAGGTAGCAAACGAGCCTTTGGATCATCGGTAAGATGATGATGGTCAACGATGAGCGCCGCCCGTGGACAAGCAACACCATATTTTTCTTTTAGGATTAATTGAGGATTAGAAAATGATTGGTCTTTCATAAACTGAATCCGTTATATACAACTACATAATTAGATATTAGCTACTTGTCACTAAATAAGAGGTCTAGTTGGACAGCTACCAACGATGAATGGTGACATGATGAATAATATAAACTTCCGAAATAGTTTTTTTTTCTTTTAAAAAAAACGATGCCCCTCTTTAGGATTTTCTACTGTGTTGTGGGTGCGTTTACAAACATACAATGACACATACACATAACACCCAGACCCGAAACAACAATTTGTAAATCACACAAAGTGTTGATCCACTTTTGAAACTACAAAAGTAAAAAATATGTTATACCTAAACCATTATCCATCCATCATCAGCCGTTAAGTGCCCACTGCTGAGCAAAGGCCTCTTCTCATACGGAGAAGGTTAGAGCATTAATCACCACGCTTGCTCAATGCGGGTTGGCGATTTCAAACTTATAATTAGAAATTATAAGTCCAGGTTTCCTTACGATGTTTACCTTCACCATATGTCAGTGGTGTCTAAATAATCATAGAAAGTACATATAACTCGGAAAAAGTCACATTGGTACTTGCCAGGTTTCGAACCCACACTCTCATGCATGAGAAGCGGGCTGCTTAACCTCTGGGCCAATAAACCATATACAAGTACTTTTATAACGTCAAAATAGTATAATAGTGTCGTTGCGAGCCATGTATGCAGCAGTGTGTATTGTCGCAGAGTTCCCCGGCTGGAGCGCGGAGGAGGGCGTGCAGGCCGCCGCGGCCGCCGCCAAGGACGCGTCCCGTCTGCTCGACAGCGACGACGACGACGGCTTCTTCGAGCAGAGCTCCGTCGGGGACTCCGACGCGTCGCGCGCCGAGGAGCCCCGCGTCGCCGACCTGGCGCCCGCTGCGCTGCTGGCGCTGGCGCCGCCCGAGGGCGCCGACGGCGGCGAGGCCGGCGGCTGGCAGCAGCGCGTCCTGGCGCGCGCCGCGGCCGCGCCGGCGCCCGACGTCCGCGCGCTGGGCCGCGCCGTGCTACGCGCGCTGGGCGGCGCGGGGCGGCGCGCCGTGTCCTGGCGCGAGCTGCAGCGCGGCGTGGCGGCGCCGCCGAGCCACGTGCTGCTGGCGGCGCTGTTCCTGGCCAACTCGCGCAACGTGGAGCTGCTGGCGGGCCCGGCGCTGTCGGTGGCGGACTTCTCGCTGCGCCTGCTGTCCACGGACGAGAGCCGCTACAGCGAGGCGGCGGCGCAGGAACCCTTCCTGCGGTGAACTGCGCGCTCTCGGAACGCTGTCGCGGTCGACCGTCGACCGTGGAGGTATTATTCGACGACTTACTGATACAACAAATGTTGTTTGTAAGTTTCTGCTCACGAATACAAATTGTGCTAATATAATAACTGTTAGTTTAGCGGGTAACGTGCATCATGCAAATTATATTTTTAAAGAATGTTTTGTGTAAAAACGCCAACAAATAGATTAGATTTAATATATTTCACTTACAACAAGTAGTTATCTAAAGATTAGTTGAGTTAACAGTGTATTTTATTGATACTCTGTTAACAGTTCACCAAATGTGTGAAAATTCAACTATCTACACTAGCCGGGACGCGACCACGTCCGCCCTGCTCAGTGATATGTACACAGGCCCTTGTACTGTTGTAAATAAACTAATAAAAATGTTTATGTAATAATGTTTACAAAGTTTTTGTATAAAAATAAGTTCTATTTTTAACTGAACTCTAAACGTAAAATTACGTACTACTTATACATACATATAAATATGTATAATATATATTTCATGAATCTTAATCTACTCATAACTTGCAACATTGGCGTACGCAATTCCGCAATTGACGTAGCAACGACTGGGTCGAGTACAACTCGACTTCATGAGTGTTGTGAGAGAGTTTATGTATATAATGTTTCTCTAATGTAAATATACTTATAAGTTTCATTGTGATCAAATTGGGATGGCATTCCTTCACTATAGTATAGGAATCAAATGTAATGAATTGGTCCATTGTATGGTTCTACACTACTATGTGTACAATACTAAGTAAGCTGCACACTTTTCATATAGATATTGACCATCATAATCCATATCCAGTAAAGTAATGAATTTCTGCACCACTGAAAGTTGTCTTACATCTTGAAACACAATAACTATACAGGTGTGCCATGGCAATGCTGTATACCAAGAAAGTCCTTTAAACTGTCGACGTCTTTTAAATCCTGGTGCTATATTATTTAGACAAAAATATCCTTATGGTATAGACTATCATCCATAGGTATGATAAAAATTATTTTCAAAAATGAAATGGTGTCTTTTGTTTAATAATGATATATTAAAATGTTTTAGGAACTTTTAGCCCACTTCAAAAAATCAGGAAGTGGTTTCAATTTATTCATATATTTTTATCTCTGGCTTGTCTACTTCGATTTGAAAAGATATTTTGCAATGAATAGTAGTGTTAGTGTGATTGTATTAACTCTGATGTATATTTATGAGAAACACACATGAACTTATCACAAGTGTTCCTCGCTCAGTGTAAAAAGTAAATAGGTATGATAAGCAGCATATTGTTGTTTTATCTGTTTGTGTGTTTAATAACAGTAACTGCAGGTAATTTATGAATACTGATTGACTCGCTCAAATTAAATGGCAGCATGCTTGTAAAAAAATTAAAATCATCAAAATTATAAAAAAAATACTGCATCAATTATATCCCTAAAATACTGAAAATTAATTCTATATTAATTGGTGAAATCTACTTTCAAATTCATTTAAGTGTTTAGAAGCATGGCATTTTTTCTATTTCTTTGTTTTATTTTTGATAAGTTTTAATAAATTTCCTAAAATTTTCTAAATCAACAACGAATGTCTGAGCCCTAAGTTATTTAGTGTTAGGTGCTGGTGTCGTTTGTACCCTTACTTCAGTGCACACCATACTGTATGTGCTCACACTGGTTGTTTGATGTCTATCTCTAAGTGTTCAGCTTTGTAAGGAAAAGTGTGGAATGTCAACCTGATCCAGCAATTGAATAAAAGACCATTGGCAGGTCAGGGTAAAACTATATTTTAATAGCTATTGGTGGGAGTACATATTATTGTTGTAATGTCTTGTAATACCCCGTCCGATCCAAAACGAATGTGCAATAATGTGAACTACTATCGTAAGTACTAACTTTACGATGCGGGTCGGACATAGCAGGGCTTGCGATGTGGTACAATCTAACTTTACTTCCGTACGCTCTTATAGTATTATGATAGATCTCGATTAACTAATTGTAAATGTTATGTACATAAAGAAAATATAAAGAGATGTAGTTACTTTAATGAATATCAAGTTGAATGAATGTTCTTTAAATGTGTAAAGTATTGTAATATATATATTATCGTATAAGTTGATCAGCCATTAAATAGTCGCTACAGTAAGTCGGTAGCTGAGTTTTATTAACTCATCAATTCCCGCGTGTACGCTATTGAATAATCATGTAAAATATATTTTGAAATCAAAATACATTATTATTCAAATAACAAAAAACTTAAATCATTATTTTAAAGTAAAATATACATTCACTAGTCACAACAATAAACGATTAAAACATAAAATGATGTGATTTTTCATTTGGTTTCAGCAAAATCTTTATTCTGTTAACGAGTTTGATTGATTCTTCATTCATAATCATTACTGAGTACTAGATACACAATTCCACTGTAAAACTGACAACGAATCACCTGATGGTAAGCAGTGAGCGCTGCCTATGGACGCCTGCCACCCCATGCTGAATTTGCGGCTCATACAGCAACAACGCAAATATTGTTTCATGCTGTATAGTTTGTTATTCTGAGAGGAAACACAACATAATATCGATATCGTACAGCAAAAATGTTATCTTTGGAGTTGGTACGCTACTAATTCGTATGGTATGTGTATCAATAAAATAAGTTATTTAGTTTTTGTCTCTGGAATATTATTTTATTCCTAACAAGTAATTAGATAACGTCTCATAGACAGATTAGAAAAATTAAGGAGTTGAGTAGTGGTCAACTATCATCGCTCCTGTAAAGAAATTCCTGTTGTGCTCTTACTACCGCGATGTCTGGTAAGTAATTGCGATCTTTTTTATCCTATATTCAGTTTTGTCCGCTTGGATACTTTCCCCAGTCAAAAACTGTTTACCACTACTGCCTGCTTCTGTATCTTGGTTGTATTTAGGATAAGGGTGAGGCAGCAGAACAACCAACAAAATAATTAGCCGATTATTTTAAATGCAAAACATTGTAGTCTCATTCCTAAGCCGTATCTACAAGGTGTTCTCGAGAGTCATCATGAACCATCTCGCACATAAGTACAAGGACTTAGTAAGAGTACAGCCTCCCAACCAAGCCAGTTTTTGAAAAGGCCACATCGTTTGACTTTGGACTATGATTGAGTTAAGGTCTCAACAGTTCATATTCACAATTTTTACTCGGCGGTGTGCCTTGGTTGTCCACCGATTATATTTAGCTCGTGGAATAAAAAATAATATCGCAAAACGGCTCATAAAAGGCGTAATCGGCGTCGATAAAGTAATAACTGTACAATAGATAAGTAGAAAAGCATGGGAAAGCCATGCTTCAGCACGAATGGCCAAGGCTCGGCCGGAGTGATACCACGGCCTCACTGAATACCTACCGACGTGAATCAACTACAGCGTTGTGTTGCGCCGTGTGAGTGTTGGGCGTCTTCGGGTTTTTATTTCTATTCATTTGGTAACATTGTGTATGACAACTGACGCAACTGCCGTGATGACAATGACATTGCGACGTTCTCGCGTCAAATGTAAAATGAGTCAAATCATTTGTATCGGTACCGTCGTTGTGATTGTGCCGGCAAAATAAAATAATCTAATTATAATTTTGTTGTTGCAAACGAATAAAATCTTACGCACGCAGTTACCATTTTTAGTTGCCATTGTTGTCTCCGTTGTCGGAGAAATTTCCTCACACTGGTATAAAAAAGAAAGCGGTAATTAATTAAATAAATTTTTTGTTATACGTATTGCGGTCTATATTTCATTTGTGTTTCAGATTCGTGCGTGACTTGCAAGAAAAAATGGGGAAATTACTGTTAATATTCCTCGCGCTTGCTGCCACATCCGTGTGCGGCTTTCTCAGGTACCACCCACTTAGTAATTACTTTATTGCAACAACGCAAAATGTACAGCTTTACATTTTTCTATACAGTTAGTAAAATGAAAGTACCTTCTTATCGAGACATAGTTAAACTTTATATAAAAATCTCTTCATAAATAGATAGTATGAGATCCATGCAATGAATGACCATAACAGCTAAAGAGCAGTGTGCCTCTGGAGAGAAGACTTAAGTTAACGGAGTGTTGTTTTGCAGAGTACCACTGTACCGGATGAAAACTGTCCGTAAGCATTTCCAAGAGGTGGGGACTGACCTGCAAGTGCTGAGGATCAAGTATGCTGTATCTGGACCAGCTCCAGAACCTCTGTCCAACTATTTAGATGTATGTAAACACAGTTTATTTATATCTATGAATGTCATATTAGTTTAGAAGGGACTGTATGGAACATAAAGCTCACATTTAGAAGCTGGAGAAAATGTTCATACATAGAAAATATTTTTATCCCCTTTAATTTGGGCAATAAAATCCCATAGAAAACACTAAACATACAATATACTTATATATAATTATGGAAGTAATATAGAACCAAGACTAAGTTTGTTTCTCACTACTGGCTTGAAAATTTTGCAAAAATAAATCATTTGTTTCATTGTAAAATAATAGCTGCCAAAACTAACAAAACACATCAAAATTTTCCTTAAAGTTTCCATACATGAAGTACAAACATAACAAACAACTTCCAAACAGAACAACTGTTACTTGGGGGAATTTACCTGTTCTAGGATATTTCAATTAAACAATTTGTCTGTCCACTATAAAAAAGAGCAAAATGTGATTTCATGTTGCTACTTAGGTATTAGGATTTTTACACTAACCAAAACAAAAGAATAGTAGTTGTTTGTGTCATTACTTAATTCTGTATGTTTCCACTGTCACAGGCCCTTTGTGTTACTTTTTATATTGTCATTCCATGCTAAGAATTGGGTGTCTCAAACCAACTTTATTTTCCCTTTGTTATTTTCCAAAGCTTGTGATAAATGTGTGGGCATTGTTGCCTGATATTTGTGTTGATGACAAATAACCGATAACCCGGAGCTGTGACCGCGCGGCGCGCTTGACCTTTGTCTTGTCGGAACAGTCGTCGCTCCCGATACCTACAAACATAATTATATATAAGTCGGTCTTACTGTACAAATACACTTTTTGCGCACTGCTGAATATGTTACTGGTGTTATTGCAACTAAATTATAATTTTCAATGGAACCGAGGCTTTTTGAGGAAGCAAAACACGGAAAAGTTATTAAATTACTTTTCCCGCCGTGGGTAGAGTACGAGGGAGACACTATCTCACCAAAACCGTGATTGCACACGCAAAACAAACGTTTCTGAGGTTCGTCTATGTTAATAACATGTTTTAGCGGATTGCGTTTGAACAAGAAACGTTGTGTATGAAAGAGTTCTCTGATTGTAAGACATGTGGTACGTTTGGCAGGCACAATACTACGGGCCGATCTCCATCGGGTCTCCGCCGCAGACCTTCAAGGTGGTGTTCGACACGGGCTCCTCCAACCTGTGGGTGCCCTCCAAGAAGTGCCACTACACCAACATTGCCTGCCGTGAGTACCTACCTACATCGCGCAGACTAGTGCCGGCCGGTGTGACCGGTGTAACCTAATGGGGTTATCAGTAAATCACAAAGCGAGCTGTAAATATAACATGTTCGATATCGCGTCACATGAGCGCTCCGATACTGCGACTGCGAACATAATATTTACGAAAATACATACAATTATTGTTGTTTAACGCTAATGTAATGTTCTAACGACCTGTCGTCGACCCCGACTGTGGCCTATGCTGTCACGCATCTATCGCTATCTGTTGTTAATTCATTTAGATTCCATAATTGGGATAACTAGTACATAATGTGGAAGAGGCGTGTGTGATAAGTATAAATTAAGATGTCCCGCTTGACGTCGCAGTGCTACACAACAAGTACGACAGCAGTAAGTCGAGCACGTACCGCGCCAACGGCACGGAGTTCGCCATTCACTACGGGTCCGGCAGCCTGTCCGGCTTCCTGTCGCGCGATGACGTGACGGTGGGCGGCATGACGGTCCGCGGCCAGACCTTCGCCGAGGCAATGTCGGAGCCCGGCCTCGCCTTCGTGGCCGCCAAGTTCGATGGCATCCTCGGCATGGCCTTCAGCAGGTAACTCCACGTCACTACTAAACTGGAGTGAACTAACCACTACAGTATATACGGAACAAGAAACTAGTTCGCTATTGTATCGATCGCGTACCTCTTGAAATTAAATAGAGAGATTTTGGAGCGCTAGCTTTGTGGCCCATCTATATAACCAACTAATAGACCCTTGCTACAAGGGTGTCGAACTACCTCGCTATCGACTAATATAGTTATCTAACATTTTTTTTTCAAAAGAAGCTTTATAAACTTAAAAAAAATTTAATCGGTCCAGGTGTTGTTGAGGTAGGCTAATACTAACACATTTAGACCATGGGTCTTATTTAGATAGCGTTACAGTAAATTGCTGGCCTCTTTTGGGTCACAAATACATGCTAGGAAAGTTGCATCATCAGCGAATGTTGCCGGCTATTTTGGCAGATTGGACCAAACATTGAACCCTGGGTAACCCTGCTAGACAGGTGTAGAGGATGGGTCTTGCATCACGCAAGTTTACTTGAAATATTCTGTTACAGAGTTATGAGGAGCACAATAACAGTTTTTTATGTGATTGTTTGATAAACTAGCTAGCTAAGGGTTACCCGATGTAAAGAAATTAGCGCCGCGAGGTGTTTCGAATGCTTTTCCGACCTTTTGGGGATTGGGGATTTGGAGGTTTTGTGATTGAGGAGCGATTGTGAGAGGGGAAGGATTGACCTCAGGTAACCAATCACACGGCAAAATACAACGCTGTGGTTGTTTCACGCCGATTTTCTGTGAGGCCGCAGTATCAATCCAGCTGAACCGACCCATAAGTGCCTAAGCATAGCTGAGTAAGCGTTCGGGGAGAGGGACTGACTGAGGGAGTGTCGTTTGACCCGCTAAAAGCTACCTTTTCGGAACATCAAATAGTTTAGCAAAGTTGATTAAAATTGGCATTGGTTTGCAGCATCTCAGTGGACGGCGTGACCCCTGTTTTTGACAACATGGTGGCGCAGGGGCTGGTGAAGCCAGTGTTCTCGTTCTACCTGAACCGCGACCCGAACGCGGCGCAGGGCGGCGAGATCATCCTGGGCGGCTCCGACCCGGCGCACTACTCCGGCAACTTCACCTACGTGCCTGTCAACCGCGCCGCCTACTGGCAGTTCCACATGGATGCTGTGCGAGTCAACGGGAAGGCATTCTGCGCCAACGTAAGCTAGTGCTACCATTGATTGGTCGTGCTGGGCATGTACACAACTGTAGTTAGTATATTCATAGAGTGCGTTGATTGGCGACAGCTGTCAAGTAGTGTATGAGTACGTATCACGTTGTCCGTGACCGAGTCCAACAAGCGACGCTTGTAACAATACCAATACACTTCATGTCATAAACAAAATTGTTTGAGCATATGCCAAGACAAAGCGAGCTGCGGCTTAGGTATAGGTATCGCGCTTCAAAGAATTATCGCATTTATATACATACATACTCAATGGTCAATTCACATCTTACGGAATATGTATTGTAAGACATTGTAGTTTCACATTTAAATGATGACGCGTTAGTCCGTCGAGTAGTAGACACCGACGATGAGCGCGCCGCATTTACCGTCAGTACAACGCACTCGTGACTCTTGGTGTTGCGAGTGTATGCACGTTGTACGTTGTATACAATGACAATGTATTATAGGCGGCTTGTTTATTTAAACCCGTAAATGATTGTAATGCCATGGGAATGATATTTTACCTTCGTGATGTACCACCACGTTTGTTGCCGCGTGACTCCAATGGTCGCAAGCAAGCAGTTAACAAGCAGTTAAGAGTTGATGATTAGATTTTGTTATATTCTGAAAATGATTTTGTTAAATTTCCACAAGTAATCATGTTTCGAAGAAATAAGACATTAAGTATGGGCGCAGGGCTGCGAGGCCATCGCGGACACGGGCACGTCCCTGATCGCGGGCCCCAGCAGCGAGGTGGAGGCGCTGAACAAGGCGCTGGGCGCGACGCCGATGGCGTTCGGTCAGTACGCCGTGGACTGCTCGCTCATCCCGTCGCTGCCGGCCGTCTCCTTCACCGTCGCCGGCACCAGCTTCACGCTCGACGGCGCCGACTACGTGCTGCGCGTTAGTACTCGCTCGTATACTGGCTCCGCTCACGTTGCGGGCGGTCAATGACTACATGTGTTGCTGTTTGCAGGTGACCCAGTTCGGTAAGACAGTGTGCCTGTCCGGGTTCATGGGGCTGGACATCCCGCCGCCCAACGGGCCGCTGTGGATCCTGGGCGACGTCTTCATCGGCAAGTACTACACGGAGTTCGACATGGCGGGCAAGCGCATCGGCTTCGCGCGCGCCGTCTGAGTGGCTGCCAGTGTATCAGTACACTACGTTATAGTGTAGTAATAGTCTGCAATATTGTTTGTCGCTAGCGCTAGGTCACTGCTGTCTCGATGAACAAGCCAGTGTTGCCTTTTATGTTTGTATTTTAGAAATAAAAAAATATTCCGTTATAAATTAAACATCTTTGATTTCATCTTCTTTCTATTCGTTTATGTCGAGGTGTCCTTAGTCATCAAAAGTTTATTTCGACGTTTTACTTCCATCAAATATTGAAAAATAATTATATACTTAGGTACTTACTTTAATTCATTGATCTGTCTATACACTTAAATTGATTTGATTTGATCATTTGATTTCATAGCATTGTTCTGACATTTAGATAAAAGTATTGAAATTAACCAGTTGGAAACTACCGTATTGGTCATAAGCACAAAAGGAGATTTGGTTGTAAGTTAAAAAGTTAAGATCTTCACCAAATTCTAGCAATAAGTGTTTCTGGGGAACAAAGTTTTCGACCGAGACTTTGTTTTATTCGCAAGAACCACATCTGGTAAAGTAAATCACAATTACTGGCAACAGCTTACCGGGCGACGCAGGGCACACTCGTGCGACGTTTGAAGTCGAACATTGCACGCGCACAAGTAATTTTGTGATAGTAATAAAAATAAAATTAGTAGAGTACGCAATAATGGTTTCTTTGGGAAAGTTGGCTGTTAACATGTGTACAATAACGTGTTGAAATATTGGTCACCCTAATATATAATTTTTGAAATAAGAACTAAAAGTAAAAAAATCAGCACAACTGAAAATGTGACTAAACTCGCAGATCCTCCTACTTCCTTAGGTACATATTTTTATACACAAGTTTGGCTAAACTCTTGGTTTTTGGTTATACTCAGTTTGTTATTAATCATGTAAAATCAGTTCTACAACTGAGTAATGCAAGTCTCTTATCTGGCTCCGGAAAGCATATCTTATTCATCGATTCACCGTTCATTAGTCTCCATTTAAGGCCCTACCGATTCTATCTAATACTATAATGTAAACTACACTAAGAAACGGCTAATTCAATTGTGTGAGCGGTGCGTTGTCGCATAAAGGATAGAAATCTCGTAAAGGCACATCATCATAGAAACGCGAATAATTTTGGTTTTATTTTTTAAGTTTAAAAGATATCTCACTGCCTCAAACTGCGTAGGTCCATTGAGTTAAAGTGAAGAATTAAACGAAAGAAAAAAGAACGAAAAGAAAATAAAGCAAAGATCAGGTACTTTTTTTGTTCGGCTTTGTTTTAATCGTTTCAGTAACAATACAAACATTTTATACGCCATAAAAATGATAAGATCACGCCTCCAATGAATACAATATTCAAGATTCAGCGACTGTGTACACACATTCACCTGTAACTACGTTATTCACAAAGCTTCAATGAATTTCCTGAATGACTGACTTGTAACACTTATTTTTAGCGAATCATCTAAATCTCCGTTCGCATCTATATGTGCTGCAATATGCATTTGTTTACACAATATCAATACAGTACTATAAGTAGCAGTAAGTTTATACAATAAACAAGCATTACTGAACACGTATTCGTAGTAATCACGACAAGTGTAACGATCCAATGAAATGAATAAAATAATACTCTAAGTGTTACTTTCATAATTAAATACTATTTATTTAAATAAAAGTTTAAGTAAAATAGATCGTCATTACATAAATTATAATTACAATATTATTCTGATAGAAGAGGCAGGCAGGCCTGCACCCCCGTCTCTATGCTACACTATGTATACAGCCGGCCTCCGGTCGCCACCGGTCGCCTCTAGTCTCCACTAGACACCGCTAGCGTCACTACACTAGTCCCAGTTTATGTTTTTTTCTGAACTTTTTCACATACGCCTCTACGAGCGCCTGAATTTTAGCTGGATTGATTTCTCCCGTCTTGTTGTGGCAGATCTGAAACAGTAGTGCAGTGGTTTAGTATTACGCCACTGTAAGCGTAATATGAATAAAGAATAAAATGGCAACATACCGTAATGTAATATCATGTACAACTACATGCTACAAGTCCCTAACGCCTGATAGTGAAATGCTACGTGCTGGAATTGAATCTATAGGGCGTTGCGCAGTAGCCTTAAAATTCCTGCCGTAAGGTAACTCTGGGCAAACACGACAAAAGGTAAGATCTAAATAAAAAGATACAAAGCGTAGAGCACCTTGGGCACGGCGCGGCGCAGGATGTCCTTGTACTCGTCCTTGGTGACGTGCTTCTTGTTGTAGTGCGGCTTCAGTACCAGCTTGACTTCCTCCACGACGCGCTCCTGCCGGTTCAGCTTCTTCAGGAACTGAAACATCACGCACACAGCTGTACTCTCGCCACACACACACAGCCAGCCACCCCGTTCAAGCACTACTATATAATATCGGCCACACACATATACAGCGTGAATGCTCACTTTGCTCTTCACTTGCATCTCGACGGCGGAGCTGGGAAGGTCGTCGAGAATCTTCAAGTTGTCCTCGTCGATCTTGACTCCCACTTGTGTTTTACCTGGGGACACAAACAGATCCGTTAGTAGGCGGGCGACAGCATCGCCGGAGCCAGCAGCGCGACGCGTACCTTTCTTCCGGCTGAGTTTGACCGGCACCTTGGCGGCGGCGCCGGGCCGCTTGCGGCGCGGGCGCTCCAGCAGCGCGTCGAAGCCGCCGCGCGCCCCGGCCGGGGGCTCGAACAGGTCGCCGAAGTCGCTGGAGCCCGGCGAGTACGGCGAGTCCGCGTCGCCGTCCGACTCCGGCCCATCCCGGCGCCGCGCCGCCACGGCCGCCGTACTGGGGCCGAGCGCCGCCGGCCGCTGGATCTTAGTGGCTTGCATAGGTTTGATAGGGTCCGACTTGATCGGGGAGGGCTTCGCCAGGAACAATTTAGGCGGCTGCGAGCGCGTGGGTGAAGGCAGCACGATGCGCACGGGCGGCGCCGGGGCCGGGGCCGCCGGCGCGGCCGTGGCTGGCGCCCCCAGCGGGCCCGGCGCGGCTGCGGCCGCAGGGGTTACAGTCTCTACCGGGGCGGGCGCCGGGGGCGCCGTCGTCTCGCTAGGCGGGGGCTCCGGCGATACATCGCGAGTGGATTGTAGCAACGCCATCACCTACAATGAAAAACTTGATAAAAATATGTATATGAGTAAATCCAACGCCCGCAACAACATAATAATTATAAAAGAGTGTTTTAGTATTTGAAATGTGTACGCTGACGACCATTCAAGCTACGACCGGTATAGCTGGGCGCTATACATTAAAATATTTTTATTTCATTACTAGCGGCCCGCCCCCGCTTCGCACGGGTCTAACTATCTCGCTTTTCACATTCACGGGTCACTTTTTCCTAATCTTCCCCTTTACTTTTCTAATATTTTCTTTTATAAGAACCTTCTCCTGACAATAACAAACACAACAAAAAAAGAATTAGCAAAATTGGTCCAGGCGTTGTTGAGTTATGCGCTTACCGACACATTTTGCGATCCATTTTCATATATAAGAAGATGTGTAAACACTGAAGTGTTCTCTTGTGATGTAACACAGGTGGGCTGTACAAGTACCTTTTCAATGGGTGAGAGTGGGCGACGGTCGATGACATCGTCGGCCGACATGTTGGTCTTCTGCGCCGTCTCTAGCGTGATGCAGGTCCGCGCCGGGCTGGCGGCCGGGGCCGAGCGCGGCGAGCCCGAGGCCGAGCGCGTCGGCTCGTACGGGTCGTACGCGTCCGGCGAGTCCGGCGGTTCTGGGGGCGTGTTGGGCCCTCGCGCCTCCTCCGCCTCACCCTGCTCGGGCGCCGGCTCGGGCGCGCTGCGGCCCGGGGACGGGGGAGTCTTCGGCCCTACGGCTTCCACGGGCGCGGGCGGACCGGCCCCCGCCGCGCGTTCTGCCTCCTTCTCGCCTGGCTCGCTGTCACTGAGCACGATGACGTTGCGCGGCGACGGAGTGAGCTCGCGGAAGGGCGAGCGCTCCAGGTCTATGATGGCTACGGGCCGGGGCGCCGCCGCGTCGCTGTCCGGGGCTGTCGCTCGTCGCTTGCGTCGCCGGCGAGAGCGTCTACGTGACCGACGTTCGTCGTCCTCCGCGCGCTCTTGTTCCTTGAAGCTGACGCTGACAAGAATATTGTCTCCTGATGTGAACACTTCTTTAGAGGGGCCGGGCGCGTCCCTGGCGCGGCGGTGTCGCGCGGGGTCGCGGCGACGGCGCGCCCGCACCGGCTCGGGCTCCGGCGGCGGCGTGCGAGGGGACAGCAGCTGCGAGTCTATGGAGCCCGCGCCCCCCGAGCCTGCGGCTGGTGCTACGCCCCCCGAGCCAGCCGGGGACGGCTCCGGCGAGCGACTCGCGCTGCGCCGGCGGCCGCGACGGCGACGCGGGCTGCGCCTTCGTGGAGAGCGACGTCGAGAGGCGGATCGTTCGGAGCGAATGCGTTTCTTTCTCTTTGTAGGTTTAGAACGCGGACTTTTGGAACCGGAGACAGAACGACGTCGTTTGCGCGAACGTTCAACAGAACGTCGCTTGCGGGACTCCACTCGCTTCTCACGCTCAGTCGAGCGGCGGCGGCGCCGGGACACGCGCGGCGGGGACGCGGCGCGCCCCGACGACCGCGGCGACACCGACATGCGGCCGCGCCGCACTGGTGTCAGTCGCGGGGGGGACCGGGACACGCGCGGGGACCGGGACAGGCGGGGCGAGCGGGACCCTCGCGGCGCGCGGGGCGAGCGGGACGCTCGAGTAGGGCGGGGGGAGCGTGACGCACGGAGTCGGGGGGAGCGGGATGCACGGGGTAGGCGGGGCGAACGCGATGCGCGGGGCAGGCGGGGAGAGCGGGACGCGCGGATGGGGCGGGGCGAGCGGGAGGCACGGGAGGGGCGAGACGGGCTGGGGGACCGCGCGCGGGGGGACACGTCGCGGCCGAAGGCGTCCTTGGGGCGGCGCCGCTTGTCGGAGACGACGGTGCGCACGTCGTACCGCTCGAGGTCCTTCCTGCGCTCCTTGCGGCGCTGCTTGGCACGCTCGCGCTCTCCGTCGCTGGAGTCTCGCCGTTCCCGTTTTTTATCTTTATCTCTGTAGTTCCTCTCCTTGCCACTCTTGCTGAGCTTCTTAAAAGCGACCTCTCCCTTTTTGCCCTTAGTCTTAGTCTTGTCCTTGCTCTCCTTCTTGGATTCTTTCTTTTTCTTCTTCTTGCCGTCGTCGGCGCGCGCCTCCTTCTTCTTGTCGATGATCTCTCCCTCTTCGTTCTCGTTGGCGGGCAGCTTGGCCGGAGAGCCGCGCGACTGCTCGGAGGGCGCACGCTCGTTATCGGAGAACAAGCCGTTGCCCTCGTCCTCAGATATCATCTCGGTGTCGAGGCCCTCGATGCCTTTTTCTTTCTCTGTCTCTAGCGATGTATCTTTAGACTTGTTCTCGTCGAGGCATGGTGTGTAACTGCGCTCGTCTTCGGTTTCACTAATAGATTCAGTCATTTTTTCAATTAGATCATCAGTTCTGTCCACAGAGCCCTTCCGGGGCGACTGGTCGAGCAGCGGTAGCTCAGTGTCGGAGGCAGACAGGTCCGGGGAGCTGCACCGGCGCGGCGGGGTGCCGCTGCCGGGCGTGTCCTCGCCCTCCCCCGGCTGGTCCGCGGCCGGCACTGCAGGGGGGGCTTGATCTGCCTCGATGTCAGAGGTGACCTGCTCGTCTGTTTCAGCAGAATTCTTCCGGCTCTCGACTAGTGCTGCATCCGGATCTTTGTCCTTGACATCGGTTGAAGTGGACAGTTGGGCATCGAGTACGGGCTCGGAGGACAGTTGCTCATCACAGAGGGGGGACCCGCGCTCGCTACTGGCGCGCTTGTCTCGCGCCTCCACGTCGGGCTCCACGGACCCCGCGGCCTCCTTCTCCTCGATCACTTCCTCTTCGTCCTCTAAATCTTCATCGTAAAGACTGACTTGTCGTTTAATTAGCGACGGTGTGTTGAGCTTTATCTTTATGGGATTACGCGGATTCGTCGTGATCGGACAACGCTTCGATACTTTTTCTTTTAACTCTTCTTCTGATTTTCTCTTAGAAATAGAATCAGCAGTGTAGCGCGCGCTCACTGTCTCTGTCCGAGTGGACTGCTGGGAGGACTCGAGCTGGGTGCGTGTGTCGGCCTCGACGAGGTCGGGAGGATCTGGCGCCTCGTCATCCTCTTGTACCAGGTCCTCCAGGTTGTCGTGCAGAGACGCGGGCGCGGGCGGCGGGTCGCTGGGCAGGTCGGCCGTGTTGTTGGCAATATGCACGCTGGTGGCGGAGTATATGGAGAAGTTGGGGCAGTCGCCCTCGTCGTCGTCGTCGCTGGCGCTGGGGGGGGCGGGCGCGGCGGGCGCCAGCAGGTCGCGGTGCTCCTGCAGCACCTGCCGCACGGCGCTGTCCAGCACGCCGTGAGGCACGCCCAGTGTGTCGCCGCCCAGCACGCCCAGCGCGTCACCGCCCAACACGCCCAGCGCGTCACCGCCCAGCCCCGCCACTGACGGGGGCGAGGGTGCTGGGGGGGCTGCGCTGGGTTGTGGCTCGGTGGCTGCCGGAGTGGCAGTGTCGTCGTCTCCACTGTCATCATCGTTCGTGGGTTCCGTGGGATCGTATTTCTCGGTGTCTATAACTAAACTAGAATCACTCTTCTCGTCCTCAGATTTATCGAGGTCAGCAGTTTTATTGAAGCTAAACACGGGCGGCTCCGGCAGGGGACGGTACGGCTGCGCTTGCGGCTTCGTGGCCTGATGCTGCACGCTTTGTGATTCGTTGAGTGCTGGAGTGTTATTTGCTGAGTTTTGTCGCCTTATTGGACCCATTCTCATATCAAGGGGATTTTCAAAACCTCCAAATGAGTGCCTATGCTGAATAGGAGGATCGTTCCTAGGCCCGACAGGGGGCGGCACGTACGGTTGCCACGACGGTGCTAAGCTGTATCGGTTTTGCTCATTATGGCGCTGTTGGTTGTTCTGGCCTCTATTCTGCTCTGGCGGCTGTCTTCTGTTCCGATCAAACTGCAGTTCGTCACCCTGTGGGTACTGATGCACTCGCCTGGAGTAGTTATTGTAGGCATCCTGGTCATCGCGCCGGCCGTTGTTTTGGTTGAAGGCGTTCCCCTGTCGGTTCTGGTAGCCTCCAGAGCTGTAGTTGTTGTCGTAGTTGCCACCTCTGTTGTTCAGGTTACTGGAGCCTTGCTCGCGATGGTAGTTCCCGGTGTACCCGCCGCCCCAGCCTCGGCCGCCGCGGGATTGTCCAGGATACGAAGGTACTTTCTTTGCAGCATCCTCCCCTCGCGTAATGTCAACCTTATTGTTTTCTTTTGGTTCGTCTGACATTTTCTTAGGTATCTTCTCGCGGGTTTCTAGTTTTATATTTACACTCCCGTCTACGGAAATCGATACCACAGATTTCTTTGAATGAAGTAAAGTTTGACTTTCGAGGATAGAAGAAAGAACATCAGGAGCCGATGACGCGTGAGGAGGCGAAGGAATGGAGATCATCTTTCTTCTAGCCTAGAAACAGAACAGTCGTAATTAATGTAGTGAACCAGATTATTCCCATACACTGAACGCTAGGGACAGCTAACTCACCTGTCGGTATGCACTAAGAATGTTGGACGTGGGTCTGGCCGCCACGGCCGTGCTGGCGCTTTCAGAGACTCCTTCGTCCTCCTCGGAGAAATATTCTATTTCATGGGGATTGCCAAATATACTCAGCGCCGGGATGCCGGCACGCTGGCGGGATGTGGACAGCTGGAGGTCGCCAGCCGAGGCGAGGCCGGGCCGCGCGACGGCCGCGCCCTGCCGCGACAGGCCCGCGCCCGCCAGCTTGGCGCGGACGCTGGCCAGCACGTGCGAGCGCCGGGCCGCCGTGCGCGGCTGACGTCTCTTGGACTGCAGACAGCCAGGTCACACATTTTATTAATTATCAATTATAACACAAACTCAAAATCCGACTGACTGCACAGTTGGCGCGGTCGCGGGTTCAATTCCCATATGGAACAAGTCTGTGTGATCCTGAATCCTGTGATTCCAGGTCTGGGTTTGATTGGTACGTAAAATTGTAAATTTGTAATCGCATTTACAAAACAGGACAAAATAACAGGGTCAGGCAATTTCAAAAAAAAAAAATATTTGCCTTTGTAGCTAAATATTGCCTATAAATAATGATTTTGAATTTGGATATGAATGATATGATGTATTTATTTATTATGAGAGTTGTGTGACACAATGCAAATGAGGTCAACTTGCTTATTATGCATCAGTGTGGCCTTCCTCAGAAATTGAATTTGAAATATTGAAAAGTACTCATTCAACTTCTAGGACAGACAGAATGAGAATGGCTTCCACTTTTTTAATATACATAAATAGTGAAACTAACCTTTCGTTTCTTAAGTTTCCTTTTGACTCTCTTTGTTACTGGAAATTTCCCATTTTCTTGAACTTCATACTCAATAATTACTGTTTTAGTTCGCCTTTTCTTTGGTTTTCTTCTATTTGTATGAGCTGTAGTTTTGTGCCTAGCTGTAGATGTTCTTGAGGTAGTGCTATTGGCTGACCGAGAGGATGTGCCTCTAGATGTTGTTGGTATATCATCAAAATTCAATTGACTACCACTGTGTCCAGATGATGTGGAAGGTTCATCTGAAGCTCTATGACTTCTTGATGACCTAACTACTCTTCCTTCCCTGACAAGTGCACTAGATCTAGATGGCACATCAACGTCTCTGATGCTAGAGAATAGATAGTCTACATCTGTCAACAGATTGTCACAATTAGGACAAAGCCACTGCTCTGCAGGCACCTGCAACATTTTTATTAATATTTTATATCTTATATAACATCCTGCAAGTCACAACAAGTATGGTATAGATGTTTACCTCAGACAGTGGTGGTGTGAGACACTGCATGTGATACCCGAGATCACAGCCATCACAGAGGAGCATAGTCTCTTCATTATCTGTGCGGCCACACACCTGCAACACATACATAGTTTACTTTATTATTGTATGACATAATTTAGTCTTAACATTAATCTTTCAACTATAATATCTTAATTTAATCCTATTAGAAAATACTAAACTTACATGTTTCATTCATGTAGATTTAGGATAATAAGTACTGCAATGCTACTATGTCTTAATTACTTTAAAAAAAAGTCATAAGTACCTCACAGATGGTGGGATCTTCAATGACAAGTAGATCAACAGAAGGCCTGCGCTCTACAACCTTCACTGGCTCAGTGCGTAGTACACGACCCCCAGCACAGGCCCTCACAACTATAAAATCAAAGTTCATTCTATCCACAGGACAAGTGTTGACATTTCGTGACCACTCTGTGATACAGTCTAGGCAGAATATGTGTTCACAGTTCTGGGGTGTCCCAACTTCTTGGTTGGTGAAACGCATTAGACAAATTGAACATTTGTCAGAATTGCCTTCTGAGCTATCTGATGCAAAGCCAGAAATAGGTTTCACTGCTGTTGTGGGTTTGGGTGCGTCTGAATGGTCCGTGGCCCATCCTGACGTGTCGCTGTCGCCATCAGAATCCCGCAACTTAGGCAGTGTGCGTTTCCGACGAGCTCCCGCGCACACCACCGAACTACCACTGCTGTCGCTCCCTTCATCACTCAGCACCTGAAATATACGTATTATAATAATCGGTCCATTTTAAGAAATGGAGTAAACGTGTGGCGTTCGACCGCGACAATCACCCTCAATCTCTTCCTACGTGATCCCGTTCCCGCGACGCTTTCATCGCTATCCGAACTAGAGTCTGATGAAAGCACCATCACTTTTTTAATCTTGCGCTTAGGCCTTGGTGGTGAGTCCTCACTGCCCTCTTCACTCATTTTCACAAGTAAACAGTGTGGAATGGAATTCAATGGGCACGACACGAAGCCTGTTGCGAAGGTGTAAATGACCTCCGCAGAGTAATATTCGAGTCAACACAGGTATAAACTATGTAATTCATTCGGTCTGTAAATTAATAACATGCATTCAGATTGTTTCAATACAAGTAATAGTATACGACGCGTCGTCTAAAATGATTCCACTATTTTGACAGCAAGCCGCTATCAATGGTCTAGCGGCCATTTTACTTTCTATACTTTTTTTATTTCCATAGTGAAGTGCAAAAATAGGATGTGAGTTTCTAATCACAAACAACACAAATTCGTATCTTACTAAATACTTATTTAATTAAAAAATAAAACTGTTTAAATTTTTTAGTTGTGTGTTTGGTTGGCTGACTTACTCGAGTGATCGTTTTTTTTTACAATACAGATCATTAAATAATGATTAATGCCCGTGTATCGTTCTTTGAGGAAGGCCAACTACCTATAACATTACTTTTCAAACATACACAGGTGTTCTAAGGCCAGCTCAGCAAGGACAGAAATCTCGCGTGAAGCTTGAAATTAACCAATAGCAGGCAGGAGCCAAACAGAAGATCAGGTGTAGCAGCTAATTACCTATAATTTGATTATTATAATTTTGTTCCTTTTCTTTGTATGACGGTAATTCGTCGATGACAAGTTCACAGATATAAAGGCTATAGCTTTGTTTCTATAGTGCGTGTACAGTGCAAGCACGCACAAATTTGACATCACTGCGTCAGCACTTTACTAGCTACGCGCGCTCTATACTTTAGTACACAATTATCACTCAATCGCGTGCACTCATTATCATTCAATTAAATTATATTTTTACGTACTCTTTGCGTATTAATCAATTATCATCATTAAAAGGTGTAAAGACCCTACATCTTTTTGGTCCTTCGAGCATCCGTATGTGCGGGACCCTTTCGCGTTAGAAACAGTGTGAATAAGCTGTCAGCACGAAAGTACAGCTCCTGCGACTACGACTTGTGGACACAGTAACATCCGTCTGCTGCAACAACCTTCTTTCCGGGAGAGCGAATCGCGGAGAGAACAATACCTCAAACTGTTGAAAGCGTAAACAAATCTATCATACAACAACAATCATGAGCGCCACCATGGAAAACATTTTGGCCAATCAAGATCAGATCATTCAAGCCATGGAGCAGCAACTGCGGAATTTCAAAAAGGATTCTGCGGATCGTAAAACTCCGTCTAACATCAAAAAACGGTTGCAAATCCTGGATTCATACTGGCGGGAGTTTCAAGAGAATCATGCTAAATTGGGTGAATTTGAAGATCGTGGTTATGCCTACTTTTCGGAGAACATGTACGATAAAGCAAGGATTTTCTACAATGAAGCTCAGAACATCATTCAAAATTACAAACCGCCTACTAGTTTGGAAAAGGGGGGTAAGTCGCCTAGCACTTCATCAATTCATACATCTGATACTCGCAATCAAGAAGCTGCGGATGAGCGGCAACAAACGAGCATTTTGTCAGTAGATCCAGATAAATCAAATATCAAGCCAATTGGAACCCCATCCACATCATCGTTCAAGAAGATTGTCTCTCGAGGTAATGCCAGTAAATTAGAAGAAATGCTCCGCAAACAGAAGAGTAACTTCAAGGCTTTATCACGAGCAATCAGAAACGTGGATATAGAGAGCCTCTCCGAAAAATGGGAGTTCGAAGATGTGCTCAAAACCATTCAAGGAAAATGGTCAACTATAGATTCCCTACACTGGGAAATTGATAGTGAGATGTACTCGGAAGATGAGGAGTATGAACAGGAATATAGCAACCATGAACAACAGTACGTTGACATCAAAAAGTTGGTCAATAGCAAGATGTATTCCGTTTCATATCGGGAAAGTTTTACACCGAAGATAGATATTCCTACCTTCTTCGGGAACTATCACAAATGGATATCATTCAAGGACTTATTCCAAGAAGCAGTCCATAATAACAAATCCATCCCAAATGCCCAGAAGATGCAGTTATTGAAAACTAAACTGAAGGGCGAAGCAGAAAGGATCATCCAGCACCTTAATATCAGTTCTGAAAATTACCAAGTTTGCTGGGACATATTGAATCATAGGTATAACAATGATCGACTAATTTTCACCTCTCACATGAACATACTGCTGTCAATACCTACAATGCAAAACCAAGTTGACACACAGATCAAGAACATGTTCGACACCATCAATGAATGCATGAACTCCTTAAAAAATCTTGGGGTAGATGTAACAGCCATGGGACCAATGGTGGTGCATTTACTTACACTGAAGCTGGATACTCAGACGCTTAGTGAATACACTCAATCATTAGACAATCCAAGGGCCTTGCCTGTTCTAGCAGACTTCCTTAATTTTTTGGAGAACAAGTATACTGCTCTCGAGTCAACACGGCGAAAGCATTACTCATCCAAATCATCATCGTCGTCATCTCCGAGTAGAAACAAAGATTCTGAACATCAAGTCAGCAAAAAGAATCAATCAAAATCGAATAATTTCAACAATAAAATTGACTCCAATAAACCATTTTTACGTAGTTCGGCTATAAAAAGTTGTGCAACTAGGACACAATATTGCCCACTGTGCAAAGACAACAGCCACGGACTTTTCTATTGCAAGCCATTTTTAGAATCGGGGTCAGCAGAAAAGAGAAACACAGTACAAAGGTTCAACTTGTGCGAAAATTGCCTGGTCGATCACAAAAATAAATCATGCCGTTCTGAATCAAGATGCAGGGTGTGTCAAGGTACCCATAATACCGTACTGCACGATGCCTTACAGGTAAACGCAGTGTCCAGCAACATGGATAAGTCACCGTCTATGTCATGTGAAGACAAAACACAAAGTAATGTGACACACGCGTGCAAGGAATCTGTTGTTGAAATTTTGCTAGCAACAGCACTTGTCCGTATACAAGGGATTAATGGGGAATATCACACAATGAGGGCTCTCATAGATCAAGGCTCTCAAGCCTCCCTCATTACTGAGAACGCAGCACAAATCCTGAAACTGCCGCGCCGAGCATGCAAAGGCGTCATAGTTGGAGTCAGTGCCAATCAAACCAATTGTAAAGGAGTTCTCAGTCTTGTAGCGTCCTCGTTATACTCCAATTACACATTCCAAACAGAAGTTGTTATTATGAAGAAATTAATTAACAACTTGCCAAATCATAGTTTCTCAAAACCATCGTGGGAATATCTTCAAAACATTCAACTAGCAGATCCACATTTCAACGTTTGTCGTCCAATTGATTTATTGCTGGGAGCAGAAGTTTACTCGGAAATCATCATGTCTGGCATAATCAAGGAAAACTCGTCTCTACCAATAGCACAACAGACTCAGCTTGGCTGGATTTTGAGTGGCAATGTCAAGTCCTATCAATGCAACGTTATCATGAACAATATAGAAGATATACAAAGGTTTTGGAGCATCGAAGATGTCACCGATCCCAATACTGATATGTCCTCTGAAGATCAACAATGCCTTCAACAATATCATTCGGAAACAGTACGACGAGATGATGGCAGATATGTGGTCAGACTGCCACTAAAGCCAGATATCAACGAAAAATTGGGAGAATCAAAACAAAGAGCCGTAGCACAATTTTATCAACTGGAAAGAAAATTTTCAAGAAATAAAAGTATTTCCGAAGATTACAAAACGTTCATAAACGAGTACATTGAACTGGGTCACATGCGCAGGTGCACACAGAAAATACTGCCGGATTGCATTTTACCTCACCTTTGCGTTTTACGCCCGGACTCGACAACAACATCGCTGCGAGTTGTATTTAACGCATCAGCAAAAACTTCGACAGGCTACAGTCTTAATGATTTAATGTACAGCGGTCCAAATCTACAACAGGATTTGTTTACACTGATTCTGAAATGGAGACAGTATAAATATGCAATCACAGCCGACATCGAGAAAATGTTCCGACAGATCTTGTGTAATGAGAAAGACCTACAATATCAAAAAATCGTCTGGCGTGACTCACCTACTCAAGTGCTTAGGGAATATGAGTTGAGTACGGTGACCTACGGCACTAAAGCAGCTCCATTCCTGGCCATGATGACGTTGAAACGGTTAGCAGAAGACGAACGTTCAAGATACCCTACAGCATCGGCGGTACTGGAAAAGTGCTTCTACATGGATGATCTTCTAGCAGGACACCACAGTATTGAGGAAGCCAAGCAACTCAAGGCTGACCTAATAAATTTGCTGAAATCAGGTGGATTTAATTTACGAAAATGGTCGTCAAATAACGCTGACATACAAGAAGCAATATCAAACAAGGAACAAGCATTCGAATTTAGACATCAAGAATCAACCAAAACATTGGGACTGCGCTGGCACCCCCAGGACGATCAATTCAAGTTCCAGATGAAGATAGACACATCATCATTGACACCATCCACTAAAAGATCATTATTATCTGACATTTCAAAGATATTTGATCCACTCGGCTGGCTGTCTCCAGTATCAACCAAACTGAAACTTTTGTTCCAAAAAGTTTGGTCGTTGAATCTTCAATGGGATGACGCAGTACCTACAAACATCAATGAAGAATGGCTTAAAATAAAAAAGGAGTTATCATATATCGAACATATCAATGTACCAAGATGGCTTCATACGCCAAAAAATGCAAACATAGAGTTGCATGGGTTTTGTGACTCATCAGAAAAAGCCTATGCATGTGTAATTTATGGCAGAATTATCAGTCTGGAAGAGGTGGAGTGTCAATCTCCTGTGATCATAGTAGCAGGAAAATCAAAGCTCGTGCCTGTCAACAAATCAGTATCTCTGCCTAGATTGGAGCTTTGCGCTGCGCACTTGTTGTCAAAACTGATGAAAGTTGTTCAGAACTGTTTATCAACCCATAACCTACGAATATACGGTTGGTCCGATTCGACCGCAGTACTAGGTTGGCTTCATGGTGAACCGAATCGCTGGAAACCATTCGTGGCTAACAGAGTAGCACAAATTACGGAGATAATACCAACAAATAGCTGGCGATATGTGAAATCAGCAGAAAACCCAGCTGATTGCGCGAGCCGAGGTTTATTAGCGAATCAACTACGTCATCATCCACTTTGGTGGCACGGACCAACTTGGCTATCAACATTCAATGCAAACAACAATCAAGACATACCAATTTACATTACTCATGAGCAAATCAGGAAGTCAATAAAAAGTAATGTAAGTCAACAAAATGAGGACATTGTTTTAAAATTATTGAACAAATTCAGCAATTTCGACAAAGCGGCGCGTGTTCTTGCTTGGACTTTGCGCGCCATATCTCGCAGTCAACACAAACCAAAGTATTTGACTGTCAGCGAAATAAAAATAGCTAAATATCTCTTAATAAAACGAGTACAGCTAATGGTATTTAAAGAAGAGATATTCAGTCTCCGAGATCAGAAACACATAGACTCGAAGAGCAAATTGCTGAAGCTTAACCCATTTTTGGATCAAGACGGCCTACTGAGAGTCGGTGGCAGACTGAACAACGCGAAGATGAGTCAGAACATGAAGCATCCCCTCATCATTCCGAACAACACCCATCTCAGTGACTTATTGATCGAGCAAGGACATCAGATGACACTCCATGGGGGAGCGAGAGTTACTCAAGCATGGCTGCGTCAACAATATTGGATTCTGGGAGGAAACCGGGCTATCAAGAAGCGCCTTCGGAACTGCGTCAAGTGCCGAAAGCACGACCCAATCAAACACGAACAAATCATGGGCGACCTTCCGTTAGCACGCAGCAATCCAACACGACCATTTTTCCATACCGGGGTTGATTTTACTGGGTTTGTCGACGTAAAAGCAAGCAAGGGCCGAGGTATCAAGACCACTAAAGGGTATATCGCTGTGTTCGTTTGTATGGCCACCAAGGCTGTACACATCGAGCTAGTATCGGACCTGACCTCATCATCGTTCCTAGCGGCTTTGCGGAGAATGGCAGCTCGGAGAGGCACCCCAGGCCATGTCTATAGTGACAATGGCACGAATTTTGTTGGAGCGAGCAGAATCCTTAACGAAGAGTTCATCAATATTCAAAACACCTTGGATGACAGTTTTTTCGAGGCTATTACCAGTATGGAGATCAACTGGCATTTTAATGCCCCTTCTTGGCCTAGTGCCGGAGGTCTCTGGGAAGCCGCCGTCAAGAGTTTAAAACACCATCTCAAACGGGTCATAGGAAATCAGAAGTTGACGTTTGAAGAATATTCAACTTTGCTCGCTCAAATAGAAGCATGTTTGAATAGCCGACCATTATGCGCACTCAGCGAAGACCCCGAAGACTTAGACTGTCTCACACCATCTCATTTTTTGGCAAGTGGTCCGACACTAACTATCATCGAGACAGAGAGAGACTTGCGGACAAGGTGGCAACTCACACAAAAAATATTTGATGACGTGTGGAAGAGATGGCGAGCTGAATACCTGTGCCAACTGTCAGCTCGCAGCAAGTGGCGCAAACCTCATCAGAATTTGAAGATCAATGACATCGTCATCATTCACGACATTAATCTGCCCCCGGGAAAATGGCCCATGGGGAGAGTTATTGAACTTCATCCAGGGAAAGACGGATACGTCAGAGTAGTGACCCTACGGACGAAAAGTGGGACACTTAAGAGACCAATTACGAAATTATCCGTTTTGCCGATCAACGACAATAATCAAAGCCACGATACAGAAAAAGAAAACCCAGAAGGTCAAGCAACTAACAATAAATATTCCAAGCCAGCCTCATCAAAATTGTGCAACTTCATAATTACGACACTCATACTTCTGATGTTTATTTGTTCAGGAACATGCGAACACAAAATTTCCAAAGTTGCAGATAATAAAAACATATTTTTTGATAAAATAGCAAACATGAAATGGGAACGTGATGAATGGAAACTCATCGTTTATTGCGACATGGCTCCGTATTGGCAAGGTATTAACCTTCTGGACAAGTTTATCACTCATCTAGACAACATATGTTCAAGGGATCAAATAACACAATGCAACGTAGTCCGATTACAACTACTTCACGGGTACAATGAACTTGAACACTACAACAACGTTTTACTTGGTCAGCAAGGTCAAGTTCGCCGACGTCGTGGGCTTATCAACGGCATTGGCTACGTCGCACATAGTTTGTTTGGAGTTTTGGACGAAACCTTCGCCGAACAATATCAGAAGGATATTGCCTTATTAAGAAGCAGTCAAAAACATCTCAGCAATCTGTGGAGAAACCAAACATCAATTGTGGAAGCTGAGCTAAATGTCATCAAAAGAATTGAAAATACCCTGGACAAACAGCACAAAATGCTCAATCAACACATTATCAACTGCAACGCGAGCATGAACAAACTGAAAGAAGAAATCCAACACACTGACAATAAAGCGGAATTCACATTATCAACGTTTATAGCCAACAATATCATGACCAATCTAAAAGAAATCCAGGAAACGCTAGTTGATACAGTGGCCAACATTTATTATGAAAAGTTTAACTTTCACTTGCTAACACCGACACAATTGAAAAACGAACTGAATGTTATAACCGGACAAATTTCAAAGGACTTAGCCTTACCGATTAATAATATTCAGACTGACTTGGCGAAGATATATCATCTACTGAAAGTGAAAGCAAGAGCTACCAGAAAGTTCCTGATTTTCGAAGTAAGAATTCCTCTTGTAAGCAGGGAAGACTATGAGCTTTACAACCTCATACCGATTCCACAACAATCCAACACAAGCATGGTCACTATAGTACCTGTAGCAAAATATCTGGCTATCAATACACATAAAGATGCTTACATTCCGGTGTCTACAAGCGACTTACAAAAATGCGTTCCTTACAGCGCCGACGAGTACATTTGCCCACTGAAAAGGCCCGTCTTTCAAATGACGTCAGACAAAAACCTGTGTCTGAAACATCAAGCCTCTAATGAATGTCAGACTGAAACAACAGAATGTCAAGATACCTGGACTGATTTGAATTTAATTAATTCATATCTATACTTTTGTTGTGGACAATGCAGCGTACGAGTCATATGCGATAACAATATTACGATCGAGCAACTCAGCAAATCAGGTGTCATTACTATGGGAGACAGTTGCGTCATCAAAGACAGAATGTTTACGATTTATGCACACAAATCGTTATCAAATACAATTAAAACAAAGATCGATGTCATGAACATAGAAATTCCACCAATAAATAACTTAATTAATCTGTCGATACCTTTCATCGCTCCACTGAACGAGACAGACGATATCACCAAACAACAGGAAGACATAAAGGCGATTGAGAAAACACTCAAAGAAATGAAATCCAATCAGGAGCTGGAAGATCAAGTGACATTCCATGACATTCACCATTATGTCGCCATCTACACCTTGGTTGGAGTCGTCGTGGTTTGCATCATTCTGTACGCATGGCAACGCATGCGAGCGTGCCAGCCGCGTCCTGCGCTTGCACCTCCGACAGCTGAGCAAGTAGAGACAACAACGGAGCAGGCAGAAGCTAGCGTGAGCTATGTAGCTCCCATTGCCACAGCTGCGGGTCTCCCTACCATCACCACAACCAGCAGAGGGTCTTCGCCAGCCGTCCGGACTCAATTCAATGAAATATCTTAAGCTTAGTTTATTTAAGTTTGTAAGCAAAATTGTTTACTATCACCTTGTAAATCATTATCCTTCATCTCATTCACATCTTCTCGGGCCCGGAGCATGTACAGTGCAAGCACGCACAAATTTGACATCACTGCGTCAGCACTTTACTAGCTACGCGCGCTCTATACTTTAGTACACAATTATCACTCAATCGCGTGCACTCATTATCATTCAATTAAATTATATTTTTACGTACTCTTTGCGTATTAATCAATTATCATCATTAAAAGGTGTAAAGACCCTACAGTGCGTAAACAACAGTAGCAGATTCCCAGAAATAAATATATTAATCAATTAAAAAGTAGAATGAATTGTACATGCATGCCTTGTAATAATTACAAAATTGAATAATATATCTTGGCATAGAAATTAATGCCATGCTGATATGAAATCGGCTTATTTTAAATGTTTTGTATTTATTGTAAATGTTTACCTATAAATAAGTTAATTTTTCGATCATGTTATTTCTATTTTCCAATATTGAACATGTAAATCATAAATCATCCTTTTTTCTAGTACCGACCTTCAGTCTTGTTAATAAAGATATTATATAGACCCTTTATAAGATCTTTGCTTGTTACCCGCAAACTTTTTACCCGTCTTATGCCTTGCTTGTTTGGTCTTTTAGCTACATCAGTGAATCATTTAAAAAGTTGATGTAAGTAAAGTTGATGTAAGTCTATGGTATGGGCCAGTAAGAACGAACGATAAAACAGCTAAGACCGAGAAAGGAACTACGCCACCATCATTCATTCAGATTGAGACTGAGAGTCTGAGACAATCAATCAGATCAGCAAATGTGTGAGTGTTATGAGAGACATTTTGGCTTTGTATACCTTGTGTATATTCCTTAAGTTTGGTAAAATAACAGCAACGTAAAAGAAATGACCGCTGAAAACGAACGTGAAATATATCATAAATTGGAAGCCATGAAAGAGATCAGGTATACGGTTTTGTTCATAAGTAATTTACGAAAATGCTCTCGCACCTGTGGACTCGATCAATAAATACTTGACTTCGTGTGCACATACTATTTTAAATAATATCTTACTATAAAGTCTTTCGTTTATAGGACAATTTATTACTCTAATTAAAGTGTTGATTAAAGCTGGCACTAGTGTATGATGTGCAAATAAGTTGACCTTTTGTGTGTGCAACTACTTGAATGTTTACTTTATTTATTATTCCTAACTTATTCACAAAGCAAGGATCGTATACTACTGTATAGTTAGTAAGTTTCTTTGTGAGTTTCATACCATCTAAATTAAAATTGTAAATAGAGAGAGATAGTTTATTATATCCAAGAAAAATGTCTGATATTTAATTTTATACTGCCAAAAACGAGATTTTACTCTAAGTAAGTAATTTAAATATCAAATTATAAAAAAGTAGTGTAGTGTAAAAAAATATCACATGAACAGACCAGAACAAATCTGATTACAGGAATAAAACAATAACATTGGAACGGATGAAGCGTAGCATACTGAATGAGGTGCGCAGTGGGGACCAGGAAGGGCGCTGCCTGGCTCAGTACAAGCGGGAGATGGAGCTACTCCAGCAAGAGAAGATGAGCCATGTAGAAGAACTGCGCCAAATTCATGCGGACATTAATGCTGTATGATATATTTAAATACCACCATTATCATGAGTTGACTGTAGTGTGAATGAGTAGGCTGACTGGACTGGCACAAGCACAAGCAGCCACAGCTGGGTGTAACTTCTCTGAGCTATTAATACTGGCCACTTGAAGGAGGGAGTTTGTTTACTCAAGCATGTGCTATTGTTGGCCGACAATTGTAACATTTTAAACTGTTTGTTTTTCCTGTCAGTCTTGTGAATGTGCTCCAAATTCCTACCAATTTTAATGATGAGTTAAGTGCCTTGTGAGTTGAATGCTTGCAAATGGTTTTAGTTTCAATTACTGGATTGCTCCAAATATTTATTGAGTACATGACTTTATTAATGTAATTATTCTTCCCAATACAGTAACTATAATGACAACTCATAAAAACAGGATATTTTATTTTGTGCTTTCTTCTATCACTACTCTTGTGGAATATATGTGTCTAGTTTAATAGCTTAGACAAGCTACATGATGAAATAAATCTTGAAATATACTCGGTGGGTCACACATTTGGAAGTAGTACCATTACAATTAAGTGGAATTTATTGTAAATTATGGTATTTCAAGGACTATATTTTATTTTTACTTTTTGATGTGAGTCATTTCACACAGATTAATTTGATTTGATGTTATTGTGATTAGATGGAAACTGTGATTAAACAAACGGAGGAGAGCATGACGCGCAAGTTGTCGAATGCGTCGCGGCTCCACGAAGACTACCGGCCGCTGAAGGCCGAGGTGGACTTGCTGCGGCGCCAGTGTCTCGGCCTCGAGCGCCTGCCCGACCTGCATGAGGAAGAAGGCAGCCCAATCACGCCTGAGTAAGTCCTCCAACAGAGAGGTGCTTTCCAATAATTATTTAAAGAAGTACCAACAACTTAGGATATCCAATTCAATATATCTAATACTATATATTTTATAGAACGACATATATGCCATCTCAAGGACCAGTTTTAAATTTATCGATCCCCAGTACTATACCTGCTTGAATGAATTTTATGAGTAAGTTGAGCGTGTTCCATGTGCAGCCGGTTCCCAGCACTACCGTCAGGGGGCGCGGCGGCGCCGGCGCCACGCGCGCTGGGCGGGTTCCTGCCGCCGGCGGCGCCCCGCAAGCCGCCCCCGCCGCCGCCCGCGTTCAGGTCTGCACTCGACCAAGATTTCATTACCGTCTCACTGAGGTTCGATTATGTTTTATTTTTGTTTTGTTCTCTACCCGCCCACCACCTCTTCCCTTAGTTCCTCATTCTCGTTCTTACATTCCCATTAACTATTATTTGTTTCAATTAATTTATATTTTATTTTATAATTTTTGTTTCAACATAGTTGTCTTCATGCGATTAATTTTATTTGTACACTAGCACAGTGAGTACTTTACTGATTACTTGTATTATAAAGCTAGATATTTCTTTGAATGTGCCAAGGTCTGGAACTACTGGGTCGAATTGAACGATTATGTTTGTGTTGAATAATCCATTTATGAAGGAAGGCTATAAAGATCACGTTATATGCGACCAATACAAACTATTGTATGTAATAATGAAGTACGCATCAAGAAAAACAGAATTTTGAGATAGTTGCCAAAGCTTTGAAAATGTTGCCGAGGACTAAATTAAAAAAGTAAGTAATTCGCTATAAATATCCCAAGTAAATGTACTTGGGACTTTCTCCCGTAAAAAACTTGGCTTCTTGGCTCACTGCTATACTACACTAGCCCGAGATAGCCATCAAAAGGCATTTCCAAGTTGCCTTCCGTCAGTCGGTTCTAGTAAGTATACCAGTGGGCTGTATGTATAAACTGAAGTCCTGCAACCAGAAAATCACAATCAAAACGAGATAGGTCACAGTTGTTCAGTTGCTACAATACAGTACAAGTTCCCAGTAGCGACGTAGTACTCGGTAACATACGCATTGCAAGTCGGTGAGCAATGCGTTGTGTGGCAGTAACCAGTGGTTGTCCCCGCAGACAGCAGCCCCCGCCGATGAAGTCGTGCCTGTCGTGCCACCAGCAGATACACCGCAACGCGCCCATCTGTCCGCTCTGCAAGGCCAAGAGTCGCTCGCGGAACCCCAAGAAGCCCAAGAAGAAATAGTGAGCCCGCCCCCTCCCGGACGAAGGCCGGCTCCTGACCGATCTCACGCTCCCCCTACACTGCGCTTACTGGCTACCCCAGTCACATAACTAATACACTAATATAAGCTCTTGTCAATGTCTAGTTCGTAGCTAATGTTATGTTAAGTCACTACAACTGAACCTGTATACTTCTGTAAATAGATCTTAGTTGACCTGGTATCAGTGCCAAATGTATTGTAAATAATTGTTCGTATGATGGTGTGTAACTCTTCGGAGCAGTTGTCGATGCGCCGTGCACATTAATACCTGTGACTGCGCGACGCTGTAACAGTTACACAACACACTACACTAAACACTTGTAGCGTCGAGGAAAACTTGTACATATTTGTGTTTGTACTATGTACCTACAGTAACGACAAAGACTAAATTGTAGGTTTTATTGAATGTTAGGAGTAATTACATCTCATTATCTGTGTTGTATTATTTATTGAAAAACTGTTTAGAGTTTGTTTTTACGAAGTCTTAATCAGACATTGAGCAGTATGCGCGTAAACTATGGCATAATATTATGTGTCATTTGTATTTCTTTTCAAAGAAATATAGGTAAGTATACATAGTAACTTTGTTTTGATTTCTCGTGTGCCGGATATAAGTTGCTCTGGTTTGTACAACAATGCTTGATTAATCAGTGAATAAATAAAAGTGTAATGAGGAACATTTGTTTGAGGTCAGCTATTTAGTTGACTCAGATGTGAGCTAGTTGTGAGGTTAGAGTGTCGAGTCACCAGTGCGCACACAGCGAGCCATTGTCTCGCTTATACCTAGTCTATAGAACGCCAGTACCTAAGTATTGTAAGATCGTGTAAATATAAATATGGGGCCTGTGTGCACCATATCGCGTTGGATGAAAGCTCCAGCAGCGTAACGTGCCCACAGCCGCTGCAATACTTTTATAATGTAAAATAAAGTGTTTATCAGTGTCAGCACTAGTTTTATTTAACAAAAGTCAATAACAATTATTCGAGCTGAACCAAATAACCTTACTTGTTTAGCTAACGGCTTCACCCGCAGTACCCGGTGGAAAAGCAGCTCGAGTGTTATTCCAGACATAACGAAGGATCATTCATATTTGTTGTGTATCCTAATAAGTAATCATCGCCTTAAGGCGGCCGCTTCTCATAAGTACATGAAGGTGCGGGTTCGAAACCTAGCAAATACCAATGTGAATTGTTCCGACTTTTATGTACTCTAAGATTATTTAGACACCACTAAAAGACCACGGTGAAGACATCTTGAGTAAAAAAAACTGTCTTGAAAGTAGGTAGGTGTGCTTGATACGGGCATACATACCACGCATATTACTGTCACAGGAGTCATAGCCTACCTTTGTTGGCCAAGCACAAGTGCGATAACCGAGTAAAGCGTCTCCGGTTCGATTCTTGGAGCTTGAAATTACTTTGTTAAAAATTTTCAGCCTTTGTCATTTTTATTGAGGTTCTACTGAGAAGGAACGTGGTCTGAGCTTGTGCGTGACATCTTGTGTAAGTGCTTGCTACATTTCCCATACATAGGATATGTTTCCCCAATGGCAAACTGCAAAATAGATACTCGGTTCGGTCAGTTCCTTAGGATTACACCTAGATACAATGTATCTAGGTGTAATCAGCAAATCCAACATTTTTTTTTTTCGAACGCATATTTAATGTAAATCGGGGTTTGTCTGGCCCTGGTTACATAAGGTATACATCCTACGGGCACCGCTGATACTTAGATAGAAAATTGCGTTCGGTATAGATAGGTACCTACTAAATTGGGTAATCCGGCCCTGAATATTAAATTTCGCACGGGGAATCACATCGATACCACAAAAACTAGTCGCTCATTATATTATAAAACGCTGACGCAACAACCATTTGATCACACATAAAAAGTATCGACAGCAAAAAATACTTACATCCACAAGAATAATGAAAAGTATTCGTCTGCTCACTCGTTGATAAAAACATATTAGGTAGATACCTACCTACATAAGTTGTTTGTTCTGTTGCGCTAAGTTAAAATAACTCACTACTTCTAAGAAAACTTAATTTGTAATGTAAGTACATAACATACTACAAACTGACTCGTCTGTATACCTACAATAGAGGTAGGCAGAAATAAAGCGGTGAAGTGCGACTTGCGAGTCGGACTCGCCCTTGAAAGGTTCCTACACATAACGACTTGATGAGGTTTTAAAAAAACTTTTCAAATTCGAGACACAGTAGAAGAACAACAGGTGCGCCGGCGTTCGCTTGGGGTTTTAGATCTCGTTCAAACCAATTTTAGTTGAAAGTTTGCATGATAACCCTATCTATATCAGCTCATAATTATAACTTTCGGCCTCAGAATACAGAACAAACGGCCATGTAAAACGGCTTGCTTGGAATTTGAAGGGTGAGAGAATAGGAATTTTCCTTTTTATCTATTAATTACCCCCTTCTCACCGCTTAGATGTCCTTTGTAGATACATCCTTTATCCATGTTGTTATATTTATGAAATGACTGCTCCCGCCCAGGGTATGGTGAGAGGGAGTGTCAGGCTTTTACTGACTAAAACCATTCTAACTAAGCCGAGGCCGTGATACCTTATTACGTTAGCCCCGCAACACCCGCGGAGTCCATGTTATTATTTTACATTAAAATTTTCAACCAAGACGTAAATTACTGCTATTTAGGTACCTATATAGTAGTTGGTAGTTTTCATTATATTGAGCTCTGACTAGTTTGTAATCTGTGATATTGAGCACCTATTCTGTTTTTGTCATGTTTATTTTTATTGTGTCTTTTCCTTACATCATCCGATATGGAAATAATGATAACAACAGAGAGTTGAGGTAAATTATGTACAAGTAGGTACCTACCTACAACCTACATAGCTGTAGGTAATACTGTTTAGCGTGGTCAAGGTAACGAGCGGCCGAGCAATCACACGCTAACAGATTGTGTAACTAATGTTTAATAGAGATATAATCCGACGACTGTAGCATTATAGGTACTGTGCGTACCGATGGGTGTAACTATTGTTCCTGATATACATTCCCTCGTGTGGGGCAACCCCATTTGTCTCACTCTAATAAAATTTCTTATCAAGCCGGACTTATCCAGTGGTCCAGCGGGAAAATAATGTCTGTAGCACTCACTAATATACCTATTACGTATACATAGCGACGAACCCAGTGAACTGCAGTTCAGGTACCTACTTTACGTAAGTAGGTAATAAAACAATATGTTTATTATAAAATATTGTATTCATAATCAGCTAACAACGCTATAGTGACGCGAGATGATAACTGTAATATCACAAGTGTTGCTTTACTTAAACTTAAAATAATATATTTATATTTTATTCATAAATTTACACTTAATCTAGACACTAGCACTTCGTGGAATGTTGGTCCGGCGACTGACTTGCCATTGTCCACATCTCTGTTAAATTAGTCGCAAGTTACATTGAACACACGTTTCAGTAATTACATCAGTCGGACTGCAAGGTGCTAGTTTGGAGATTGGGGAATGTGTTCGTGGAGTACAATGGTGGTAGAGCGCAGAGCCTACACGAGGGGGTAGGAGGCGCTGGACGCGATGCCGCAGTGGTTGTTCTTGTTGCGCGCCATCTTGATGTAGCCGAGCTCGCCCCACGAGCGGCCCCACGAGTTCTTCACCAGCCAGTAGTCGCCGCCGTCCTCCTCCGTGCCGTAGCCCACCACCATCACCTGCGCCACACAACCTCGCGTTACTATTTGTACCTACTTACGTATGCATACCTATTCGCAGGCTGCATACAGTAGTGACATTCAGAGTACAGAATAGTTTGTGTCACGTTGTATATTTCCAGCAATTGGGGTAAACCGTTGAACCAAATAATATTAATTTTAATTAATAATCTCGTGTCAATTTCTCACGTGTTTGATATTTAAATTAGAACGTGATTATATTCCGCACTTGTTGGATTGATATAAACTTTAAGTAGGCCAAATATTGAGTGGTGATAACAACGAAGTGAACTCACTAATTTTATCAAAATACTTGGAAAGGTCATTGTAAAGTTTATCGGGATCTTAAAGAGAGCAGCTTTCTGCCAATCATAACAAAAGAAAACAAAATATCGACCAGCGCAACGCTGTGTTTGATGTAAGAACTTATACAGTAGGTAACTACATTAGCAATTTAGTAAAATTGTTGGATATTGTACTTAGACTTTAAAACGAATGAAAGGGCCTGGCAGTAATCGCAGCCAAATTGTCTTCCACATTAGCTACACAGGTTAGTATTACTTTGACTTTAACATATAAAACAGATTGTGAATACGTACGCCGTGGTCCAGGTCGGTAGACGAGCAGTTCTCGTCGTAGTAGACTCCCTTGGAGTAGAACTGGAAGGTCTCCTGAGAAGCGTCGATGGCGACAGAGATGGGTCCTACGGTGGCGACGGCCTGCATAAGCTTTTCCTCATCACCCTGTGGAATGTCTACGAAGCCGACGTCATCAGCGCCAGATTCCTTGGGGTTGTACCTGCACATAAAGGAGTCTGTGTACTGGCCACTCTCCGGCTGCAGTCAGGTAGTGAGGCGCGCGGGACTGCGCCCGCTCCTTACCTGCACTTGTCGTCAACTGCCTCATAGGGGTACGACTTCTCAGTGTCGATACCGCCATTGTCCTTGATGTACTTGAAGGCGTTGTCCATGAGGCCGCCGTTGCAGCCGTTGTTCCCGTACGCGGCCGAGCAGTCGATGAGGTTCTGCTCGGAGAGTGACACCAGGTACCCGGTCTTACGGAAGTGCTGGCCCTCGAGCGCGCCAGTCTGTGCAGACATCACAAGTTAGTCAGCCAGTGAGTAATGTACACGTAGGTGTATAGCGGAAACTAAACAGTGGCGGCACTGTTGCTCGCCACTGTAAATAAACATAAGCATATGACGAAGCCTATTGAACTCTTAACAATAGCTAGCCGGCTACATCAGACGATGTGTTATCATCTAGCTTGCTATTGGGAAAATATCCTATAGGATGGGATACCTAATAATTATATTATATTAATGGTAATATTATTATAATTGTTTTGTTTTGTATTTGTACGTAGGTATAATGAAAATGGTAAATAATTCTTGCTTATTTACAATTTTAATCCAACGAAATATGATAATGAGATTAGATTAACATATACATATTTATACGTAAGTAGGTAGCAACGTGTAAAATGTAATGTTTTGAATAATTTACATGAAATTGTGTGTGCAGCGAATTTATTGATAAAATAGGGCAATCAATGTGATTCACCGCGAGTGCCCAACTGTCGATGACTAACGTTATTATATACATTTACTTATTTATTAATTACATATCGCAGTCCGCGCGGCCTGAATTTCGAGCCAAGTGAACAATAACTGCGACGTTCGTCATGTCATCAGTTTGAAAATATTTATCTGTTAGGTAGCTACACTTATTATAATTTATAATCGTAACACGTAATGTCTAAGTAGCAATCAAGTGCGACTCGACCTCGTTAGGACATAATACGCCCCTATCCAATAGTACATAAATAGTTATTGTTGTATAGGCATTATCTGAGTAATAAACAAGTCGTTCACTATTCATTTTGCTTTATCCCGGAACGATGTGACGCAGTGAAGCACCCGTTAGGTGGGTAGGCACTAGAGCGGGCACGCAATAAGGGCCGACATTCCGATACGCGCCAGACGCCCGTAACTCTACACGCCCCAGTTATCAGTCACATGACCAGCGAACAATAACAATTAGATAACCACAACAAACAAATGTACAGATTACTCCATTATCATAACATCCGAGTTATTTGTTCATTTGATTGATTTTCGTACTGTAGGTAGCTATGTCGAACGCCGAACCAAGCCACAAGTATTTCTTAGTTATGGTCTATCGGCTTAAGTAATTAACTAAATGAAAACAATCAAGCACTTATTTACCAAAATTAATTTCGCAGATATCTAAACTAACTTGAAATAATCTGCGTTTATTTTATACGAGTTCTTTAGTATAAAAAGGCATACCAAGATCGTTTACCTTTATTAAATATCTAAACACCGTACCGACCGTACCTTTGTCAGTACTGACACGTGTATGTAACTCGATCGTACCAAGGAGGTCAAGTTTATGCTAATACAATGAAGCTGAACAGTTTGTGTGTCTGAGTCAGCTCGATATGAAAAAACTGTTTGTTTCAATTTTATTCGACTGCGCGGTTGGCGCTGGTTCTGCTGCCGCGCAGTGTTGCGGATTTAATAGCCCCATGGAAGAATGCTTTCCGGGTCAGGGTGTGATGTGTATGTTAAAAAAATATTCACGCCTTTATTCCTTGAATAGAAAGGTACATTGCAGCAAAAAACGCAACATCAAATTTCCCTCAGTTAAAAAGCTCGATTTAAAGTAATAACGGCATTTGAGCGGCTAAAATGCGTAATAGCGTGCTGATATAACCATTTTTTTTTTTCTGACTGCCTTTTAGTAATCACATTTGTGATCATTCAACCAACAAAGTAGGCAAAAGTATAAACATGTACTTATAATTAAATTATGCCGACGGTCACGTGTATGGAGTGACGTCTGTGTGGAACATAGCGAGCAACAAAGGAATGAGACTCACGGTACTGAAGGCCCAGCAGGAGCCGCACTTGCCCTGGTCCTTGACGTCGGTGACTGCGCCCTTCTTGCGCCAGTCCACGTGGTCGGGGTACGAGACGTGCGCCGGCGCGATGAAGGTGGCGGCGCGACCCTCGTGACCCTTGCCGTGCACGTTCTTGTTGCGTCCGCCGTGCCTGCCACCACACGGAATATCGTTACAAACATCTGCGCTGTGTCAACATTACGTAATTTTGTGATTAACCCTAAGTGGTCAGTTGGTCGTCATAGGGGCGGATTTGTTAGCTAGGTCGACAAAATGTTTAATTGGCCATTGACTACTTGCTATTAAAAACTATTTTGACCTAACGCAATCTGTCCATTATATAAAATTTGGCTTTTTGTCACATGTGTTTAAGTCTCATCGACGTCACGACGTCGGCGATGCTCCCGTACCAGGAGAAGATTTTCAACATTATACTATTGCTTACTTGAGCTTCCTCTAAAATAGTTTTCATTTAATATCTATAATGCAGATTTGAATGAATCATTTAACCTACTAGGTATTATTGTATTAGTCGGTAATTGTTTTTAAAGTTAAATACTAGTTTCTATAGGGTCAAAGTACAGTCTTAGTCAGAGGAGGAGCGAGTTCCGGTGGAGAAGAATGGATAAAGCTTACCATTGTTACCTGCTATTATTTATATAATAGCAATAATAGCAGCTTTTCCTGTTTGTTTTATTATATTTTTTACTATAGCCATAGTATACTATAAACATTTACTGAATGCAAAATCTGTAGATAGATCATAAACAGCGGCGCGGGCAATGAAGGTAGCCTCAAATTAGACCTTATGAACTATAGCTAGTCGCTTTAGACAGCTAGGAAGCTGCTGTTATTGTAACCGACGGAGACTATGACGTAGAAAGTGTGTAAGTTAGGCTCGCACGATGGAGCTCGTCACGAGACTGCCGCGATAGTAAGCACAAGTTAACAGAGTTATCACTGCCGGTGACCGCTCGCAGCTATCAATGTGACCTACGAGGAAACGTTTGCAAAACAACGCAATAACTAGTAATCCATGCTGTAGGTACACAATAACAAACAAAATGTTTGACGCATCTATTTATGTATAAATACCTAAGTGCGGGTAACACAGTCGAGCGAAGCTTTGCTAAATATCAAATTACAATTAGGTTCGTACAGCGGATGTAATTATATATTCATGTTGTTTGCAGTTCCCTATTTTATTTTATACATTTTGTGAACAATTCGACTATAAAGATTTACATTTTTAACGAATGATATTCGATAGATAGATGATATAGTAAAGCAGCGTTGTGAGGTAACGGGGCGAGGGTACTCACTTGGCGGTCTTGTTGAATCCGTTCATGGTGTGCACGAACTCGTGGTGCAGCATGTCCGCGTACTTGTTGGGCTTCAGCTTGTAGGAGACGAGGCGCTGCTCGAAGCGCTGGTTGTGCTTGGCGATGCGGTGCTTATTCTCCACGTAGATCTTCATGCGGAACTTGTCCTCGACTTCGCTGTCGTACTGCTTGCTGTGCTCCATCTACACATTCACCACTACTTAGAATGCTATAAAAGTAAACTGTCTTCCAGTCTTAACCATCTATCTCACCGTGTTTTTTATATTTTTTGTATAATACGATCTTAGGTAGATGGACTTCACTAAGTTATATTACATTACGGCATTTTTATGTTGAAATTGTTATTTTATTAATTTATTTTGTTATTCTCAATGTTTATAGTTATGTTAAAAAGAAGTCAAGCAATTTTTAATTATTATTACTATAATTTAATTTGTAATTATGTTTATCATTTTCCTTAATAACAAGAACAACAAATAAAAACAATCATATCCTTTGTCAACTGATTAGCACATAATTTTGAAGTAAACAAAGCGCCGAATTCATGGCGCAGTTCTTAATTGGCGATACAGGCAACAATCTCCTATAAATATGTAATACCTACATAATAATATTATCTACAATAGAAAGATCACAACATAGGTACCTTGAAAGCATTCCACTCCTCTCGGACGAGGTCTAGCAAGGAGACGGCGCAGGCGCCCGCCACCAGGCACAGCAGAACCGCTACGCCCTTCATACTGTTGGCTTGCTACAGAAACATAAAAATTGAAATAATTATTTTTGTTTGCATATTAAGTTCGATAAAATTGTTATTAAATCTGAGGCATCCGTCGAGTCGATCAATCTTGCTTTATGTATCGTTTTTATTTACAGTTTGTGATAGTCACGGTCTAGGCCACATAAAGTTACGACTCAGAGCGTGACCCTAACAAAGTTGAGCAATGACCTAACAACATAAAAACTACCTATATCGACTTGACTTCATGCGGAAGTAAGTTACATACAGTCCACACAGGAAAACCGACTTTGTTTCATGAACGATGATGGAATAATAATGCTAGTGATATTGGACTTAATCGCGTAGCGTGATCAACAATAGAAAAAACAACTTAGGAGTTACTTGTACTGTTACTTAGGAGGTAGGAGGTGGCTGCGTACAATGAGGAAGTCGGGAATAGATATTATGAATATCGTCGGTAGATACATATTTTTTCGAGCAAGTCTTACATTAAATTAATTTTGTTATGTAGGTACTGCTCAGATTATTCGGTAATACCTGAAAGGATATACCTACTGCTCATTGTAAAAATGTGTACCTGTTTATTTACATAAACTGATCTAAGAGACGGGGAAGTTGCTAAATCTTAGTCGACATTAAATTCAAATAATATTCTTATAAGTATCGTAACTAGTTAAAGTGAATAGCGAAAGAAAAAGTGAATAAAAATTTAGATTTGACTTGATAAATCGAAGAAATAGCCTATACCTTTAGCTAATTGAAGCCAGTCTAATGGCATAACAAAGAAACAAACAACCCACAACACACGACGCAAAACAAACAACAACCGCTACGTCTCAGTTGCCTACCGCGAGATGATTCAACACAAAGGATTCTCCGAAATCTCCAATTAAAATCACCTTTGCGTTAAAACCACTGTCCTCAGTAACAATTAGACTTAATTTAAATTTAAATAATATACGCAGAATAATAAAAATAAGCAACCCTTACCTTTTCTTAAGATTGAACTCGGTATGTATCGAAAATTATGTTGCAATAATTACTTTCGTAAAAGTTTTAGAATTTTCACAAAATAATGCGTCCTACTACTACAACTCCTTGATTGTTTGTGCGCGTTGTTCGTAATCGCTGCGTAATGTCGATCTATTTAACAGAGTCTAGGCATGTCCTCTGGCGACTACAAAATATCGATAAAACAATGTTAAAGTGTACAGTAGTTCAAATTGTGTCTTTGATATTTTTACACGATATATTAATATATTACAATATAAATGTGATGTAAATATGTAATATAAAGATGCATATGGAATATTTACGTTAACGGTTTTTGGTTTCGGTATCGCACGATAAAAGGCTCAGGATAATCTCTAGTTCAAAATGACATAAGTCAAAATGTCAATATTTGACGCTGTCACTCGTAAGAATTGTTAACCTCAATCATTCGCTGAGTCGCATTTTGTGTTATTCTCATGCTGTGGTATTTACTTAATACTTAAAAATATTGAGTTATATTTATTTTATTAACAATGAAACAAGACGGCAAGGAACAAACGAAACCAGGAAAGAAAAATAAGAAGTTACAGCTTTATAAGCCAAGAAAGAAAAAAAGTGTAGAGGAAGATGCTGCGATACAATATTTACAGGCTCAGTACGACAAGGTAATTTCATGTGGTATAACATACGATTCTTTTACATTTGATTTGATTTGTTCATGTAATGCCCATTAATGACAATACATTTATTATTTTCATAAAAGGTTTCTGACATTCATGTTAAAATAAATACCATGAGCCAATTAACAACAGAACATCTTTCTGTGGAAGCATATTCCTTAGTATTCTGACTACAAAAAAAAATTAAATTTTGCCGCGGAAGAAAATTAAGGTTTCATTTTACATAATTATCATGTTATATGGATGCAAGCTTGTTGTCATATTAAAGCTAAATATGTGCATTTTACTAAAAAACTTAATTTGTTATTATACCTACTTATACATTTAGAGAACAAATCTTTTTAATTTTTTTTTTGTTTTAGATAAATCCAGATGAAATTAAAACATTTAAAGACTTTCCACTATCACAGAAGACTCTAAAGGGACTAAAAGAAAACCATTATGTTACTCCAACTGAAATACAGAAGCAAGCCATAGGTTATGCTCTGCAAGGGAAAGACATATTGGGTGCTGCCAAAACTGGGTCAGGCAAAACATTAGCATTCCTTGTGCCTATACTGGAAAATTTATTTTGTAAAAAATGGACAAGGTTAGATGGTGTTGGAGCCTTGGTTATATCACCAACCAGAGAACTAGCCTACCAGATATATGAAACCTTAAGAAAAGTAGGACACCTGCACGACTTCTCAGCAGGTCTCATTATTGGAGGACAGAATTTAAAATTTGAACGGAAAAGAATGGATCAAATAAATATACTAATTTGTACCCCTGGTCGTCTCCTGCAGCACATGGATGAAAACCCTTTATTTGACTGTAGCCACTTGCAAATCTTGGTCCTGGATGAAGCTGACAGGTGTTTAGATATGGGCTTTGAAGCAACAATGAATGCAATCATTGAAAATTTGCCGCCGCAAAGGCAGACTTTGTTATTCTCAGCAACACAAACAAAATCTGTGAAAGACCTGGCACGCCTTAGTTTGTCCTTCCCAACATACATCGCCCCACATGAGCAGGCTGCCACTGTCACTCCCGACCTGCTGCAGCAGAGTTACATCATTACTGAGATTGAAGACAAGATTGGGATTTTGTGGTCCTTTATCAAGAATCATTTAAAACAGAAAGTAATAGTGTTTATGGCAACATGTAAACAGGTCAAGTATATATATGAGCTGTTCTGCAAGCTGAGGCCTGGCGTGAGCTTGCTGGCACTGTATGGGACATTACATCAAGAGAAAAGAGAAAAAATTTACAATGAGTTTTGTAGAAAATCTAATGTTGTGCTGTTTGCTACAGATTTAGCTTCCAGAGGTCTAGACTTCCCTCGTGTTAATTGGGTGATACAGATGGATTGTCCTGAAGATGTAGAGACCTACATTCACAGAGCTGGGCGCACCGCAAGAGGTTTCACTGGTAAAGGAGAAGGATTACTGATGCTCTTACCACATGAAGAAAAGTTTGTTGAACATCTACAAAATAGTAAAATACCCATTAACAAAATTCAAGTAGACCCATCCAAAGTTATTGCACCACAAAGAAAAATAGAGAGTTTACTTTCTGACAGCATGGAGCTCAAGCAGAGTGCACAAAGAGCTTTTGTTAGCTATTTAAAATCAGTGTTTTTAATGAAAAACAAAGAAATATTCAATGTTCAACTTCTAGACACAGATTCATTTGCAAGGTCTCTGGGATTGATAGTACCACCATATATCAAGTTCCTGAAGAAGCAACAGTATGCACAGAAGAAACAAGTTGAGACAGAGAACAACAATGTCATTGAAAAGTTAAAAGCAAAAACTGGGTCTGATGAAGAGTCTGAACAAAGTGAAGAAGAAGTCACTAATATAGACGTTGTAAAGAAACCTGAAAGTAAAAAAAGTAAAGAAAGATTTATGAAATTTGATTTCCACATAGACGCAGATGATGATAAGGAAGATTTCTTACAAGCTAACAACTTGGATATACATGTGAGTGATGAGCCTCTTGAAGAACCACAAGTGGAGACAACTAAGAAAGCAAAGACTATAACAAAAGCAGCCCTTGCTAAAAAACTATTGAAAAAAAATATTAAAGTTAATACAACAGTGAAGTTTACGGAGGAGGGTGACATAGATGAAGATGATAAGAAAGATGTAGAAAGTGAAGCAGTGAAACAGATTTTGAGTGTGAATTCAACAAGTTTGCTTTTAGAAAGAGCTCAAATGGTAATGCAAGAAGAAGACAAAATTGACAAAGTTAGATTTAGAGAAAATGTAAGAGCCAAGCACAAGGAAAAGAAACGTAAGCTCAAAAATAAAAGTAAAGAAGATGAAGGTGAAAAAGATGACTTTGGATCACAGTCTGAGTCTGATGGTCCCGACCTATCATGGTTGCCTGATCCTGATAAAATATACGGCAAGAAGGAAGATAGTGACCACAGTGGAGATTCTGGTGACGACAGGAATTCTGAAGTGTCAGATGGAACTGATGATGAGTCTGGTGATGAATCGGAAGTTGACGAATCTTTTCACAGGTGAGCATGTTGAAAATTTACTTAATTATTTTAAAAAGCATAGTCACAGACACATTACGATACTGGAAAAACAAAAAAACATATCATTTATTTTATTTTTGCAGGCCGACAAAGCGAAAGTTACCAGAGACAGAGACAAGTGTGGCTCCTCGGAAGGTGAAGAAGGTGCAGGACATCTCGGCTTCACTGTCCGTCAGCGAAGCAGAGGCGCTCGCTATGCAACTGCTTCAAACTAAACGATAACTTATGGTCTACTTGTTAATAAAAAAATATATTTAAAATTTATTATATTTTTTTAATATCATATCCTAATCATATTACTATCCTATCCTATTTAATATGTTTACATAAATAAACTTTGAATACTAGTGAAACTTCTTAAACACCATTTCTACCTGATGATAAAATTGTTTTGAAGAAAATTAGGTACGTATTATATGCCCTTTTTTTAAGTTGACTACGATTGCGACACTTTCTTTCCGAAACCTTGCATGAGACCAACTGGTAGATACGTATTATCTCATGATATACGAACTCTTAATAGGGAGTGTGAATATCATACTCTTTGATACTCATACAAGCAGAAAGAAGAATATTGTAGGAAAAAAATAAGTTTTTCAGTACAATACGTAATGAACTACGTACTACGTAGTTCCATTAGACGAGGAATATTGTGATATTTTTCCGATGTGTGCTGTATTCTTATATTTATGTCGAACCAGAAAACGTATATTATTATGAAGTTAGTTGGTAAGGTATATTATAAGTAGTATTTATGCCTGTTGCAAATGATAGTCGGAGACGACACCAGACACTAAATTACGAGTTAATGTGATGAAGTAAAGCTAATGTTTTGTTCTTCAATATGAATTTACTACAGAGTGGTACACCATGATACTTAAAAATGAACCCTGAGCGTGATCAGCTCTACTGATTACAACATGGCAAGATGGCAACACTGGTAACATAACTGTCAAAAAGAAAACGGATCGTTGCAATCTCAAGAACGCTAAAATTTATAAAATAAATAAGTTTTCTATGGATTTAGATTAAATACATGAGTTGTACTTAATAATTTTAACTATGTTTTGGAGCGGCAACTATATTCTAGTTAGGGAGTTAAATTTTCTTCTTAAAGAAGAGGTGCGTATTTTGTTCAAAAATTGGTGGTTATGAGAGGTTGAAACGATGAATTGTTATATTATTTCGTAATTAGTAACGTCTTTGTGGCCAGGAAGACCGTCATTGTGGTGTTCAGTGAAGTTACAGTGAAGTTTAATACGGTGTTGTTAAGTGTTGTGAGCAGTGCGCTTTTTGTTCCAGAATGTAACGTTGACGCAAGTGCTGGAGGCGGACGACATCCTGCAGGAATGCAAGGCGGACAACAAAGCGCTCATACAGTTGTGAGTATCGGCAGTAAAAAGCCTGCCATCATAGTAATGTGCTTTCTCTGAATCTGGTGACTCATGCATACTTGCAAGTATTTTTTATTTAACCGAATACTAGAATACAATAGTACTCTAGATCAATAGCACTCTCAGTATTAAAGATATTGCTAGTTGGATTGATGTCATCTAACCCTGAAACCTTGAAAGTCAACACCCTTCACCATTGTTATCCAGTTGGTTTATGGACACCAAAACAATATGCTGAGCTACCTACTACTAGGTACATTATATTTTGGTTCCATCTAGAATATTTGTCTTTCCCTCAACTTCTGACTTTATATAGATTTATAGGGTTTTAAAAAAGGCTTCTAAAGAGCAGTCATTAAGTAATGTCACAGAGCATATAATTAAATTAAATAGCACAAGTGATACATTTGTTTTCATAGAGTACCTACAATACTATGCTGACTATTTGTGTGCATTTTTCATTGATTCCTATAGGTATCTCACAAGTATCAGATTTGTAGAATGTGATGTGATGAATGAATGAATGTTGTTGTATTATTTTGACTGTATGTTAGGTAATGCCAAGGTAATTATTTTAGGTGCCTATTGTTTGGAACCATTAGGTTGTGCTACATAATAGTTGATATAAGAAACCTACAACATATGAATGACAATTTCCAGCCTCACAAAGCCAGAGGTGCTGGCGGAGCTGATTACCCTGATAACAGAGGAGCCTCCAAAGAATGTGGAGCTGGCAGCCCAGTACCGGCACGCCAACATTGCGTGCGAGGTGCTCACTAGCCATCTGTCCATGCTCAGTGACCGCCTCTCCATGGATGCTACACAGATGAACCGCCTCTGTGACTTCATCAATAAAGATCCACCACTCAACCCACTGCTGGCCTCATATTTTAGTAAAACTGTTGAAATGTTGCTAGAGAGGAGCCCCAAACAGGTGACTTGGATATTTTTGTGAATAATGCATAACCCCATTATCACTTAATATTATATATATTTTTTAATTGTAACTATGTCACACACAAATTGAAGCAAACTTTGTTCTTGCCAGGTTTTTTAGTAGTACCTGGGAATAGAAAACCAATTTCTTATTCTGGCTTCTTATGCAGTGTTGTAATAATGCCAATAATATTATACACTTCTGGAAACATCTATTGGCCCACCTTAGAGTTTAGGATAAATTGAACAAAAACTGTTGATGCAGTTTTAAACCTGATACATTTTACCATCTTTTTCAATCATATTGTTTTAAATTTGAATTCAGAATACCAAATCAGAGTCCCAAGGTAGTACAACTAACAAGTTGGATATGCGCCTTGTCAAAGGCAATTGATTTCTGAATAAAAAACATAATGCATGTTGCCTCCATGGGCATCAACCACAGCTCTCATACGATCAGGCATACAGTTTATCAACCACTCTATGAAATTTTGAGGGATCATCTCGCATTCTTCTTCTATGGCAGTTTTCAACTCCTGCATTGTCTGGGCTATGACGAGCCCTAACACGTCTTTTTAGCTCGTCCCACACGTGCTCAATGGGGTCCATGTCTGGGCTTCTGGCCGGCCAGTCCATAACTGTGATATTCACATCCTGAAGAAATTCCCTGACGATGCCGGCCGCATGGGTTCTTGCATTATTAGGCGTAAAAAGGAAATTTGGGCCCACATAGTCCACGTATGGTGGATGGTATGACATCACGTAAGGTTCTAAGCACTCACGAATGTACCTTTCAGCATTTAATGTTGGCAGCCGTGGCCCTGTAACAACCTCAAGTTGAGTTTTGCCGCTCGCGGATACACCGCCCCAGACAGTGCATGAGCCACCGCAATAAGCAACCCACTCTTCAAAGCAGCATTGTGCGAAACGCTCTCCCTTACGTCGGTAGAACTACTTCCTTCCATCACATTTTTGTATTGAAACACAATTTTAGACTCATCAGAAAAGAGTACACGGCTCCAATCTTGCTGTGTCATCAATCAATAACTTTTTGTTTGATATCAACAAAAAGGCTCCAAATTGTCGGAAGCTTCTTTAAATTCTGTGTTCGAAATTAAAAAAAGTCTATTGAAAGAAATTGTGAATGTGCCAGGTTCAAAATTGCATAAAAACGTTTTGCTCGACCTTATATACAATATTAGCTAGGACCGAACGAAACTTAAAAACGAGTTGGGCCAATAAATGTGTTCAGAAGTATAACTTTTTTAAGAGATGTTTAAATACAAACTAATAAGCTGGCGGCCTCTGATTCCCAGGACTGCTACTTGTACCACATAGTGTGCCTGCGAGTACTTGACTTCTTCAAGTCGCGGCGTGACTTCCTGCCCAACCTGCTCCGTCACATGTGCACCTCCGCCATCGCAGACACCTTCAAGTACTTCATCAGACTTGACGACCTCTTCAAGAAGACTGTCATGGAGGTATGATTCAAGGTTGCACTTGTATGCAACATTCAATAATAACAATAAAGGAATTATCTCTAACATACGTCTTTAATAATATGATCTCTAACAAAGAATATTAATTAGTTATGACGTGCTGAGTGCTGAATACAGTGCCTGTGGACGGGAGTGTCGCACGCACACGGCCTGCAAGCAACGTGTGCCATTTGTTTACGGCTCTGTCCATGGTGCGTCAATGTATTGTCCAGCATTGGTCCATCGTGTACGCAGTATATATAGCGGCACAATGGCGGACCTGTAAAATCGTGACCTGTACTGTATTGTACCTACCGGTATCAGTACACGACTTATCATAGAAATGTGATCTAGTGGCATGTCATTTGTGTCAGCTTTTTGTTGCCTTTGTATTTTGTATTAATAATGAAAATATCCAAACACGTGACGGGCACACAATGTGGGTCGTGACGACTGACGTACGGTGCGAGCGGGTTACCATGTCGGTAACATTGCGGGAGCTTACAATAGGATTAGAATATGACACAGTGTGTTGGTTATCACCCAGTGGTTCGAGGAGCACCAGTTCCTGGAGTGCCTGATACAGATAGTGTGCGGGACCTACGTGCCGGAGGAGCCGGCGCCCCTCGAGTCTCAAGAGAAAGCGGACCACGAGCCCAGTGAGAAAACAGAGGGAGCTGAGGAACGCAAGCCTGATACTGGGGCTGGTGAAACACAAGGTTTGTTTATTTAAAGTTTAGTGTGGCGTCTTCTACGAATGATTTGACATTATTTTGAAGTAATTAAAAGTCAAAGTTGAAATCATTTATTTCAACTAGACCTTTACAGGCACTTTTGTACCCTAAACAAAACTTAATGATAAAAAGTGTCAGTCGATCGGTCAGTCCTCTTAGCCAAGCTATTTAGAATTATTAAGAGTATGTCGTGAAATGTTCAGATCTGGTAAAATGAATCGCTTGCGAGCAAATAGGAGCGAGCTTTTTATTGAAGGTTTGAAAGTTGTACCGGTGCGAAAATACCGCCGACGATAGCGCATACTTCAGTTTTGCTGAGCGAGGTAGAAAATTAAATAACACTTAATATTGCCTACCAACAATCTATATCCTGGGGGATGGAGTCTAGATGGTCGATGCGGTCCACAGGGAGAAGCTGCTGCTGGGGCGACACCGCCTAGCGATGAGCACAGTATTCCATAGTGGGGCCGGACCTGCGCCTTATAAAGTAACAAACGATGCCCCGGCGTGATATACTGGCTCTATTTATTGAGCACACCGGTTTTCGTCTGCGTTATGTGCTACAGTAAGCCCATAGTGGTGTTCGTAGACTGCTCCAAAGTCAGAGGTCATATGCTTTCTAGTCGTTGGTATGTGTCATTTCTCGATGGGCTGCTATTAGTGGCAGAAGATTTTCGGCTTGTGAGTTAGGTTATCGAAGGCCCTATCTATCCCCTTCCCATTCCACTACGTAAATCTCCAAAACTTTATATCAAAAGACAGTCAAGGCATTGGCCCGCGCTCGGTGATTGTATTTGGACTCACTGCTGGCGCTACACACTGTGCTCACTCAGGGATCCTTTTGAGTGACAGCAAAATTTGGGTAGGGGGTCAGTTCGTGTAGACTTTTAGGGTTCCGTTTGTAAGGAAGCAAGATACTCATTCGGCCAATATTTCAGTAAAAAACTTCTAAAGAATGGTTTATGTCTAACGAAATTGATCGCTTTTCCTACTTCTAAATTAGAAGATTAAATTTGCTTCGACTTTCACGGAAACTGTAAACTGTGGTAGATTCCTCACGGGAGGAAGAGAAGGCGAGCGCCGAGGAGCTGGCTCGGGCGCGGCGGGCGGCCGTGGCGTCGGCCAACGCGGCCGCGCTGCTGTGCGAGTTGCTGGCGCAGGCAAGCGCGGGGGGCGCGGGCGGCGCGGGCGGCGCCGCCGTGGCGGGCGGGCTGGCGCGCGCCGCGGCGCTGCGCGGGCCGCGCGTGCTGCTGGCCGACATGTTCACGTCGCCCGGGCCGGCGCGCCGCGCCGCGCTGGTGCACGGCTGCGACCTGCTGCGCGCGCTGCTGGCGCTGGGCGCGGCGGGCGCCGAGGCCGCGGCCGCCGACTCGGAGCGCAGCGCCGTGGAGCTGGCCGTGGCGCCGCACCTGCCGCTGCTGCACCAGGCGCTGCTGGCGCCGCCGCAGGCCGCGCCGGCCGCGGTGGGCGCGGCGCGCCTGGCGGTGGCGGGGCTGCTGGCGGCGCTGGCGCAGTCCGAGGTGGAGGAGGTGGCCAGCACGCTGCTGACGCTGGGCACGCCGGCCGTGCTGCTGGACATGTTCTTCCAGTACCCCAACAACAACTTCCTGCACGCGCACGTGTCCACGCTGGTCAAGAACGCGCTCAACAACCGCGTCTACCGCACGCAGTACGCCAGACACGTGAGTACACACGCTCTCGGCATTCCTCTACAATCATTCTGGATTACTAATAAAGTTCCATTAAGTACTTACTTGTTTAACCATACTTATTCACTGAATAGAAAGTTAATTCTCTTTGATACAAGACATTGCTAATAAATAATGGGTAAAAGTTGAGCAACTATTTAAAGCTTATGCAGCTACTTGGCAATCTAAAAAAAAATCTAAGTAAGGCAACTGATTTTACATTCGTTTACCAATAAGTGATCTGAAACAATGTAATATGTAACCCCATTGATCACTATCGTGTCAGCCACCTGAAACTTCCTAATCTCAAGCAAAACTTATATTTTTATCGCCGTTATCGTCCGCCGTCAGCTTAAACATGGCGCCTTTGTTTATTAAAATATAAATACTGACTCCAACACGATGAGGATATTTAATATTATCTGATATAACTTTTCCATGCAAGCAATGGCGCCTATCTCTCGGAACTCGACCATAAGTACTCGGCCTTCACTTGCCAATGCAATAGACACTCTGTGAGGGGACTCATTCCATGAATATGAGCTAATTTATAAAATTTATACTATTACACAACAGTGACCTGATCCCAGCTGTATATGCGAGAAATTGCGAATGTTGATTAATAGTAATAAATCTATTATACTTCTGTTATATGATGTGTATAAATGTTTATAAGTTAGGCTGTAGTAATAGACTATACATATTCATATAAATGATATAACTTTATGTCGACGGGAGTGATATCACGGCCTCACAGAAAACCGGCGTGAAACAACCAAAGCGTTGTATTTCGCCTTGTGAATGAGGTTACCGGAGGCCCAATCTGTCCCAAAAGGTCGACAACGTACTCGTTACTCCTCTGTTGTTGCTGGTCTCCATGGGCGGCGCCGATTGCTTACCATGAGGTAATCCGTCAGCTAGTTTGCCGATCTATATCACATAAAAAAAGATGGATTAACTGGCCTATGTACACTCGTAGTACCAAGAGTTATTACAAGTGCGTTGACGGCCTCTTGGGGATAAGTGTTTCGGATATTTAAGGATTGGGAAGGAATGCGGTTAGAGGAAGCGATTGGACCTTCGGCAACCTCACTCACACGGCGAAACACAACGTAAGTGCTCCTCCACACCGGTTTTCTGTGAGGCTGTGGTATCACTCCGTACCGTACGAGGCGACCTATTTGTGCCGAAGCTTGGCTCTTCCACAATTAACTGTGTAAGGTGTAGCGGTACAGTGGTAGTAAAGCTGTATGTTGTGACAGTTGCTGGTGGAGTGCGACCTGCTGACGCGGCTGATGGACGTCTTCGAGGAGAACCAAAATAACAAGTGAGTGCTATCTCATACTTACTAGTTATTTCATGTGTGTAATGTGTTTAGTCATTTTTACTCTATTGAAAAGTAGATATGAGGGTCGTAGTGTCTATAAAAACATCGAAAATATAATTGTGTTTGTATAGTTGTTGTTATTGTAAGTAATAATGTAAATATGGCGAATAATAATGGGTGATGCGTTTCATTGGAATACAGATTGTTCTGTTTGCTTTTTTTTAGAGCATTATTTGTATAATTATCAAGAGGAAATCACAGAGTGTTTTTTTTTTAGATGTTCGGGTAACTAGTTAAACCTTTTTTCTTAACCTAACTGTAAATAAGTTTTTAATGTAGAGAAAATGAAACTGGGAAATGAAACAGGGTTCCGAACAGTTGTAGGTGGCTTATTACTAGAATGGCGTGGATGAGGTTGTGACGTATGCGTATTGTCCGCAGAGGGCGTGCCCGCGCGGGGTACATGGGGCACGGCGTGGTGGTGCTGGCGGCGGCGGCGCGCGCGCTGGCGGCGCCCGACCCGCTGGCGCACGCGCTGCGCCTGGCGCCGCCCACGCAGGCGCGCTGGGCCCTCTTCCGGGACCACACGCTGCGCCCTCTGCTGCACCAGCTCGACACGCCGCTCGTACGTACTGCTCTCTGTCTGACCCCCTTCCCCACCGCTCTCCACGCGCCCCGCTCACCGCGACCTCGCTTCTTTGTTGCAGGGTGGCTACTACCCGTCCGAAAACATCTATGAGGTGAGTTTTTTACAATGTCAAGAAGTAACGAGAGGACTAATCTCCTCGTTACCGTTCGGAACCAGAAGGATCATGGTCCACTGATGTTTAAAAAAGAGCAAACTTTAAGTATCCTCGGCAGCAACGACTGATAGCACACGTATCACTACTCCCCACTCACTGTACCGTTGGCCCACAGGTGGAGATCATGGCCGACACACAGGCGGCCAACTACGACGTAAGTACTGATCAATGTGTATGTGTGTGTGTGTATACTGTGTGTACTGTGTCCCGTGTACTACAAATGTGTTGTGTGTGTACAGTTCAACGACATGGTGACGGCGGGCACGCTGTACATGCCGGATGACGCCAACGCAGACGATGCTAATGACGTGAGTACTCGCGCTGACACTGCTGTTATACACAAATCACTTAAACCTTTTAATCATATTTAATTAATATACTCAAACGTGACAAACATTTAACATTTGCAATAATCAAATTTATAAAGATTAAGTTCCTTTTTATATAAACACTACCACTAAGCAGAAAACTCACCTACACAACCAAAACATACGGTGCCGAGACTTATTGGAGATTTATCGAGATGACAAAAACTCCCAAGTAGTACAAATAATAATAGCGCAGAAACGAAGCTGTTATTCTGAGACCGCTGAAACATTACCAATTGTTGTCTAAATATAGTCTTGGAATAAATTGGACGAAGATAACTGCCGGCCCAGTGAGGCAAACCAAACAATGCTAATACTACATGATCAATACTCAGGTTTGTGGCGCTGTCGGGTCCTCGGCGGAGTCTGCAGACTTCATAGCGGACGGACTCGGCGTCGACGACGAGGATAAGGTGAGCCGACACTTCCAACTACCTGTCCCGCCTCATACTCTATACTTCATGTTTCAAGCTAATTGTTCTGTCTACAGATGACGGCAGCTAAGAGTAACTTCCTGGAGCTGGCCAGCCAACGATTTGACGACGAGTGAGTTACAACAAAACTATTCTCTCTGTACACTATCAATATATAACTGACCAGCCTGCAGCGCACAATCATATCTTGCCTAAGCAATGGCAAATAAATGTTTTCTTCTGATAAGTAGTACATCACGCGACCATTCATAAAAATACTGCTACTTTTGAGCAACAATGTTTAATGGAGTCCGCACTGAGACATTGCCCCCAGTAGTGGGCCTGAGTGCGCTCAGTGTAGTAATGGTCGCCTGTGTTGCAGCATGTGGGACGACTCGTGCGAGGCGGAGGCCGGCCACGACGAGGACGAGCACGACCTGCAAGACCTGCATGACCTGCACGACCTGCACGACCGGGGGCCCCGCGCGCTGGACGTTCTGCAACAACACAACCGTGCGTATACACCAAATCAAATCAAATCAAATCAAATTCATATCAAATAGACCAAAAAAGGCACTTTTGAACGTCAAGCAAAAAAGATATCATAAGGTTTAACTTTATATGTGTCAGTCTGTCCGTCTGTCCTCTAGTGAAGCTATTTGCTTTTTTTTTGCACCCTCTACGTGGCTTTACTTTTGGGGGCTGAATTTAGACAACACTATACCGTTAAACTTGACTGTAAGCGCCCGAAAACTAGACTCTGTATAGGATGCCCAATTATAGGCCGACCGTCTAACTAAATCCCCGGCTCCGCGATACAGGGGCGCGGGGGTGGCATTTAATAAGGTACAAACGTGATGAAAAGCGTCAAGATAGTTCCTAAGCTGTGACGTCATGGTGATGAAAAAGCGATTTATTAAATGTACAACAATTAATGAAGGTACAAAATTATTAATGAACTTAGGTAACTTGACGACGTCCATAAAGTTCACACGTAAAGGGGGGGGGGGGGGTCGACGAAGTGTGACATGGTGTGACAAGGGGTTATAGTGTGTGTGACACCTCTCCCCATTATGGGGTGGGAGGGGGGTCATAAGTTTTATAACGTCACAAATCATTTATTTCGAGTAGATCACAACAGGACATTTTGAACGTCAATCAAAAATAACATATATGTCAATAGGTTTAACTTAACTTTATGCATGTCAGTTGATCTGTCTCTCCTCTAGTGAACCTATTTGCTAGTCTCAAAGTGTAGATCCCTATGGAGATGAACGAGCAAGAAACTCTATGGTTACTCTTTTTCAATCAGTTTCCCAACGCATTTCTTTGTTACATAATTTAGTTAGCCCTATTATGTGAGAGCAGTGTAACACTAATGTTTAGCCAAAGACTCCGAAAAAGAAATGAATCTCAAGGACAGTAACAGACAGTCTCAAGTTGACCAGTCCTAATAGATGGCGTCCGTTATCATTTATCTAGGGGTATTAATCAAACTAAAAAATGTTTTCGACTCTATTTTAGGGCAAAGAGGACGCAGACGATCGGCCTATTATAGTATGTGTTGCAGTATGAGATGAGAAGCGACTCCACGGCGTCGGCGTCATTTGTTACGCCGACGATACGCTAGTTACAGCCAGCGGCGGGGCAAGACCTAAATTTGATGTGGGCAAGACAGATTTCGCGAGGCCCTGTTCTATGGCGACCCAAAGACGGATTTTATAAAATAATAAAAACAAACAAAACAATTAACACTGCCAAGTTTTTATTCAGAAAAATACAAATTAGGTTAATAAGTATTCACGAAAAATTACAAATCGTAAATATAAAGGTGGAGATATACATTTCATAGCGTATACTTAAAAATCATTAGTCTTCTTTATTAAAGGAACAGAAATTTCTTGCTTTTAACTTTACTAAATTCCTTAATTATGGTATCGTAATTCAGCCTAGATGCCAAGTCTGATTCAATTGATAAAACAGCCAAAGCTGAAAGTCTTTCTTGGCTCATTGTGTTTCTCAAATAATTTTTTATTAATTTTAATTTAGAAAAACTTCTTTCAGCATAGGCTGTACTTACCGGAATTGTTAATAAAATTCGGATGACAATGTAAATATTTGGGTAAATTTCTTTTAAGTTATTTTCTGTTATGTATGACAGCAGCTGTTTCACGTCTTTAATGAAGTTGGGTAAATTCGGGATCATTGTATTTAATTCTTCATATAATTCAAATGGTTGGAAATCACTGCCCTCACCCACACGCAGGACGTTATGTAAATCGTTACAGTGTTTTAATATTTGCTCCTGCGGCATATTTTTTAGCGCGCTTAAATCATAGAGAAAACCAAAATCTTCAAAATGTTGATTTTTAGACGTTAATCTTAATTTCAATTGGTTATTATAGAATCAATCATGGCGTAAAAAAATTTGTTTCATACCGGATTTTGGGAGACTGTATAGGTTGAACGCGCGTGCGTTCGTGCAGCGGAATGTTGTTGAATTTAAAGATTTTAATTATGCAGATATTTAGTGTATGACGTCGTATAATTGTGTATGGTAAAAAAAATTTGTGCACGCAACCATTGTGGAGAAATTCACCAAAAACTGATTCCGCTGGGCGAACGTTGTCCTGGCGGAACTTTTTTTAATCCATAGACTTTAGAAGAAAAGAGATGTATCCAAAAATTAGTGTGTATTTGTGTGTAATTGTGTATGTATGAATAAAACTAGTGCATGCATAAACTTCGGAGAAATTCAAGTTTCCGCTGCGCGAACGTTTGGCCATTAGCTAGTTTTCATATAAAGCGCTTACATAGAGAGCTGTAGATTTTTACATACGTTGTTTTGAATTTGTTTATATTTGTTTAAAAAACAGATTTAGAAAGAATCGTAGGGTTTAAAAGATAAAAATATAAACGTAAAATACGCTTATTAGGTCTTAGTTCTTAAAGTATGCACTTTGGGGTCTAGATTTTCACGTTTATACAAACCTTGTAAGTGTCTGCAACATGTTGCCAAGTATCAATGATGTTCCGTTAGTAATTAAATAGTTATAGGACAAATTTACCATGAATAGATCACTGTTTACAAAGCAGTCAAATATCACGACTTTCTAAATGAATTGCATGGTAAAATGTATGCCAATAATTAGTGTATTCATTCAACTATTCACATGCAAAATTTCATGTCATTAAATTCAGTAATTAAAGAAAAACAATTATAATACTGACGAAGCACCGAAAACCTACATAACCCGACCAAGTTCGGATGGCTACAAAAAAGCGGCCGTGCCATATATCTAAGAAACGTTCTTAACTTTCCAATATAACATTTATTAATATGGTACAGTATCGTACACAAGCGTTAGGAAAAAATAAAACACAGTATCGTACACACGCTCGTGCATGCCTAGTCTATTGGTTAAATAGTGTAATAAAAAATATTGGTTAAATAGTGTAATAAGCTACAATATGATACATATTGTTACGTGCCTGACTATGCGGGCTTGGGTTACGGGATTGGATGAAATGAAACACTAATACCGGTTTTCAGACTTTCTATTGCACTTAAGTTACAGCGTCCACGGAGTTAAGTTATCGGCGTTCCTCTCCAGCAGAGTCCGGCCGACTGACACAACTTTGCCGTTCACGCTGACTTAACTCACTTAACTGACTGCACTGCACTATTTCACTGCACTTCACTATTTCACTCACTTTTCTTCTTTCTCACTTCTTCCTTTTCTTCCGAATCGCTTTAGACTTAGAACTCAACTGCCAGCGGTGAGCCGCAGTTCCGCTTATATACCCCCGGTCAGGTTCTGGAACATTCAATTTCGTTATTCTTTTTGATCGTCATGCCTCCAGAACCTTCCAATAATTTCGTTATTCATTTTTATTTATTCTCTTTCTCGCTCTTTAATTTTTCATTTCTTTCACACAAATAATTCCAGAAAGTTCGACAAAACTTCTATAAACTAAAAAACTTCATGTTTACGGCGGGACTCGAACTCGGGGTCTCTGTGGTGTAATCCACACGCCTTACCGATTACACCAACTCGTGTTGACAATTCACGGCGAAATTTACAATCTCTAGGCAACGTTTGACAACCATCCATTGACGTCATGATGTCAAAGAGTTTGAACCACTTTTCCGTCACACTGCCCCCCTCTTAGATTCGCTCGTCCCGAGCATCGTTGCTGCCGAAATACCTCGCCAACCTGTCTATATGGACAACTTTCAAAGGGCTCCTTGAAGTCTTCCGAATTCTGTAAGTAATGTCATTGATCTTCGTGACTATCTCATAAGGACCTTCCCAACTCGGTTGAAGCTTCGGAGATTTTCCCTTCCTTCTGACTGGATTATGAAGCCAGACCAATGACCCCTCTTCAAACCCAACAGAATTGGCTCGTCGATCATAGCGCGTCTTTGCGCGATCACTAGCTTGAAGACCGGCCTCCCTGATCTGCTCATAAATGTCCAACATTTTTGCCCTTAACTCGTTTATGTAATCGCTAAACTCGGTGCGAGTGTCGCCAGGTGGACAGCCCGATACAAGATCTGCCGGTAATCTCAATTCCCTTCCAAAATTTGCAAATGCAGGCGTCTTTGCGGTACTTTCATGTACAGCAGTCCGATAGGCAAGCAAGAAGAGAGGTATGTAAGTGTCCCAATCTCTCTGATGGCTGTCAACCACCTTTGCTAAGTGTCGCTCCAATGTTTGGTTGAAGCGTTCGACCATTCCATCTGACTGTGGATGATAAGGGGTCGTTCGAGTCTTATGGATTCCCAAAAGTTTACAAGTTTCCTGAAAAACTTGGGATTCAAAATTCCGTCCTTGATCACTGTGCATCTCCAAGGGCACTCCGAATCGGGTGAATACCTCGTTTACCAACTTCGTGGCTACAGTTACTGCCTCTTGATTCGGTATGGCAAAGACCTCCGGCCATTTTGTAAAATAATCCATAACCACTAAAACGTAGCGATTGCCCGAATCAGTGATTGGAAATGGTCCAGCGATGTCTAAGGCTATTCTCTCCCAAGGCATACCAACATTGTAGATTTTCATCGCCCCTCTGCTTCTTGTTTGTGGACCCTTGACAGCTGCACAACTAGTGCATTTCCGGCACCAATCTTCGACGTCATATTTGCAATGCAACCAATAAAACCTCTCCTTGATCTTCACCAAAGTCCTCCTAATTCCCAAATGTCCTCCAGAAGATCCATCATGGAACGCTTTTAATACATCCCTTATTTTTGAACGAGGCACCACCAATTGCAAATGCTCGTCCTTGCCGTTTGTTGATTCCCATTTCCTGCACAGAAGTCCGTTATGCAGCGTAAGGCTTTTCCACTGTGCCCATAAACCTTTCGTTACCGCGCTATATTGGGCGACGTCACTCCAACTTGGCTTGTTACCACTTCGTAGCCACTCCAGTATTGGTTTAATATCTGCATCTCTTTCCTGTTCTAATTTCATCGCATCATCTCCCCATGCCTCGTCAACAGTATCAGT